CTGAGAAATGATATTGGAAACGTTAATTTCAAAAATTACTAAAGTTCAAAAATTATTTGCATTTCAAGTTTAGAAGCTGATAATCATTTTATTAATTGTTTAAAAAACCCTTGAGATTATTATTGTTTTAAAATAATTTTTTAAAAAACATTAGCAAAATTAAAATAATTTTTTTAGCTTTTTAGCAAAATTTAAGAAAAAAAGTTTCACAAAGAACTGAATACTATTTTCTAGTATATCTAATTTTAATATAGGAATTTAGAAATAGAATCATGTATCAGTCAATAATTGAAATTTGTCTAAATCCTATATCCTTTGAACAATCAAAAGCCTGCTTAAGTAAATTCCCTCAATTCAGAGTTGCCTTTATAAGCTGTCCAAGATAATACATTCATTAGAATCCATTTGATCCTTTCATTGTAAGAGAACTTGCAATTCAATAGTGGCAATTTATAGTATAACAAATTAATATCGAAATTAATAAAATTCATCTTAATGTACGAGAAAAAACATTTACAATTTAAAAATCAAATAAAATTTCTAAAATGGCCAAAAAATTTGTTTTTTTAATTTCCATAACTAACAACAATTTTAGATCCCAAATAATGCCAGAAAAAAAATTGACACCCCTCAACAACATTAATTTCGATGAGTTAAAATTTCACCTATCCCTCTTCTTAATAATATAATTATTAATAATTTATTTTCAAATCATTCATCATAAACGTTGCAGACTTTAGCATTGTACAAAAGTATATATATATATCAATTTTTTTCAATTTTATTGCATAGCTAAACGCAAACTACAATAAACTTCAAACTGGAACATTGACATAATTAAAAAGTTTTTAATAATAAAAATAAAGCTTAATTGATAAAAATTTATAAATCACCGTCACACGAAAAAGGAGTGTTATTATTTGATTAAAAAAAAAATTAATTCAAAATGTAAATGTTCACTCTATATCATCGAAGCAAGAAGATGAATATACCTTTTGAGCACTCGTGCGTTAGCGACGATAGGATTTATGCAAATAATATATATTATCGATCCTTCAACAAATACTATAAATGTATGATACATAAAATTTCATTGGAAATATCATAGATTGTTTAAATACGGGAGGATTATCATTTAAGCTTCATTAAAAATTCAATGTAATTATTTTCACATTGTAGTACAATATTCTGATTCATATTATATTGAATCAAAGCTTCATCGAATGATACTTCTGTGTTTCACATTGTCGTTGTCGACAAAATCAATATGATTTAAAATATTAAAAAGCTGTTTTCTATTAAATCACCGATTAACAATATTATACAAATATAAACAATAAGTTTATAAATATTTTATAGAAAAAAAAATTGACAATTCGTAAATAATTAATATTTTTAAAGGATTAATTTTTCTAAGTATTAAAATGGTACTAATATTTATATATAAAAAAATTAATGTAATATTTTTAAATTTTTTAATAGAAAAATAATACCAGACAAATAGTAGGGTAAATGCACTAATTGCAGCGCGATTCGAGTTAAAACACCTTTGAAATAAAAAATTCGACATTTCTATTGTATAAAGTCAATTTAAGACTTATTAAACTAAAAGCTTATGTTATTTAGATATTAAAAAATAATTTAAATTTTTTAAACTCGATTATTTAAACAAATATGAGAAATTAAAACTAATACTATAATTTTTTATTACGGCGCGTTTGTATCAGTTTCGGTGTATCAATTACGTGTATTTTGAAGATATTTTGCCCATCGTAATTGAAGCCAATGGAAATCTTAAAAATGTTCGAATTACGGCGAGGGAAAAAATATGATCTCATATATAATTAAATTAATAATTGTTTAAATGAGCATCTATTTAATAATTGTATCAAAGAAAGATTAAAATAAATTTTTTAAATCATTTTGCAACAATTAAATGTAATAGTAATAATAGTTATTTTTTATGAACGCGCAGTAATTAATGAACTTACCCTAGTTATAAAAAAATATATTTCTAACCTTAGTCTGAAATCGATATATATATATATTTATATAAACATTTTTTGTTATTTAAAGCATAAGTTCCTTGTTTTTTAAAACTATATATTAGACCAATGTTTTTCATTTAGTATAATAAATTTCCAATTCTAAACTCTGGTTTTGAGACAAAATACCTTAATTAGTTTCGCTGAAAAACTTATTTAAACATCAAAAATCGCAATTTTTTAAGAAATAATTTAGTCCTCAAAGGGTTAAATTAAAAAACAAAATACTTTTTCTAAAGATTTAAGCAATCGCGATGTTAAGAATTTCGAACACCCTCGAAACAAAAAAAAATCACTAAAATTACGGAAAAAAATAATTTAATAGTAAAATTTTTTCTTTCGCGATTTATTAAATATAATTGATCACACCAAAAGGTATATACTTAAAATTTAAAAATATAAAATAAAAGATAAAGGAAATATATATAATTTCTTGCAAGAGAGATAAATTTTTCTTTTACAATTACAAAAACAATTATGTTGGCAATGTCATAACAGGTCAATACACAAATTGCAACTGATTGAATTGTTTTTGGGATTTTCAATCCTTATTGTTATTACCTTTGTCCCAGGTCAGTTTATATGCTTCAATGTAAACATACAACCCCAAAATTAGGTATTTTAATTTCAAAATTGCTATTTAAAATACTTCGAAATTCAAAATTTTAATTTTAAATATATATTATTTTACTTACATAATAAATTATTTGCGATTAAAATTTCTTCTTTCGCGATTTATTAAATATATTCGATAACACACGAAGGTATTTACTTGGAAGGTAAAAATATAAAATAAAATACGCGATAAAGGAAATATATATATAACGTGTTATAAAACAGGTAAATTTTCCCTTTAAAATTACAAAAACAATCATGTTGGCAATGTCATAACAGGTCAATACACAAATTGCAAGTGATTGAATTGTTTTTGGGATTTTCAATCCTCATTGTTATGACCCTTCTCTCAGGTCAGTTTATATATTTCAATGTGAACATACAACCCCAAAAGTAGGTATTTTTATTCGAAAAATGTTATTTAAAATACTTAGAAATTCAAAATTTTAATTTTAAATATATATTATTTTACTTACATAATAAATTATTTGCGATTAAAATTTCTTCTTTCGCGATTTATTAAATATATTCGATAACACACGAAGGTATTTACTTCGAAGGTAAAAATATAAAATAAAATACGCGATAAAGGAAATATATATAACGTGTTTTAAAGCAGGTAAATTTTCCCTTTAAAATTACAAAAACAATCATGTTGGCAATGTCATAACAGGTCAATACACAAATTGCAACTGATTGAATTGTTTTTAGGATTTTCAATCCTCATTGTTATTACCTTTGTCCCAGGTCACTTCAATGTAAACATACAAACCCAAACGCAGGTATTTTAATTTCAAAATTGCTATTAAAAATACTTCGAAATTCAAAATTTTTCTTTGATCACAACTATTATGTTCTTTCTTAGTTCGTTCAGTGGCCGCATAGTTAAATTGGCGCTACCTCCTGGAGCACTGAACAATGCTCAAATACGCAACGTTTATGATCAACGATTAAACATTATTTTTTATTTAACACGAAAAATTATAAAATAGTTTATTTAGAAAAATATTTTTTTTTATAATTTGTTGATTAATAAACACTACAAGAAATATTTTTCAGGCAAAAATTTATAAAATTATTTTTTTAAAAATCGTTTATCATAAACAATGCGTACTTCAGCATCGAAGATCAAATTTCCTAAGGATTCTGTAAAAGGAATGAAATAATTTTCCATTGAAAATAAATTTTACCTTTAAAAACTTACATTGAATCAATCCACGATCTTCGATGACTGCTTGCACAAAAGCGACGAGTAACTGGTTTCTTCATCCTCTTCTTAAATTACTTTAGACATCCCCGAAAAAGTTTTTGGTACTTCTTTTCTATCAACAATGGTGGTTGAAAAAATAAAAAAAAATTATCGTAAACATAACCTAAAATTCACCTGAATTCGTTTTCTCTTGCTTACCTGGGTCATTTTCTTCAAAACACGTTACAAATACTTTTAGAAGTAAAAATATTTTTTTGTGCCTTAGATCACCAGTACCAATGGATATAAATTTACTCTTTCGATTTTCCATCAATTTATATTATTATGATCTCAGTTAATACTCTTTATCAACATTTTTGTTCAATTGAGTATATATTCATCACAGATCTCTTTTAACGGAAAAATAATAGCATAAATATATAAACATTTGGATATCTGATGAATAAGTAAATCCTCTGGTGTTAAACTATTTAAAAATTCTACAGGAACATTAACATTGTTTTATATAAAAAATCAAATATATTTATACAAATTATAATTTCTTCAACCTGTAAAATTTGAAAAAATTGGTTCGTTCATATCGTTCAGCGAAAGAATACAAAGATGATAAGAGAAATATAGTATCACACATCCACCCTACGAATATTTATCAACCGTTGGCGACTCTTCTCCACAATTCACCAAGATAACCGATAAAGAAGATTTCCTACCTTTTCGCCGCATAATTTCAAATATTTATTATTTATTTCATGTAGCTATTTCTATTTTATAAAAATGTTACTTATTAAACAAATTAAAAAAATTCATTCATTTATAAAGAGTAAATTAAAATTATTTTTATTTTAAAATAAATTAAAGGTTTATATTTTTTCAACTAAGAAATAGGGTTTCGTGACAAAAAAATTAATTTAATTAAAAATTAATTGATTTTCAAAACCAATTTTTTGTTTTTGTTTAATAAACAATTTGATAAGCAAAAAAATTTTAATTTACATTTAAATTCAAAAAATTTTACAATCTTAAAAAACATTTGTTTTTTCTAAAATTGAATTTAGAAAATTAGATAAATTTTTTTTTTTTTTTTTTATGCACTCTGCAGTAATATAAAAACAGTCTGCAATAATAATATATAGTATAAAGGATATTGATCGAATGTGGCAAAAATGGCGCCGGAGAGGGTGAACGCACTGGGATTTGTTCTGGTTGCTCTTCAATTTTGTAATTTACAAGAGGCAAAGACTTTTACATTTCCCGAATATCCTTATAAAGAAACTTCTAAAAATGTAAGTTTTCAAAATTGTCCAATTATGTTTAATTCTATTTTATTCACACGCTATTTTCACCTTATTTTTCAAAAGTCACGTGCATACTTTATTCAAAACTATATCAAATCGTATATTTTTGTAAATAAATAAGAATTCCTAAAAAAAAATTAGTTATTTAAATTTTTTTTAAATTTATTTTTTTATATATTGTTATTTATTTATTATATTTGTTAAGTTACTGTTCTTTGTAATTATTTTCCTTTACAATTTTTTGTTCAAATTTTATTGTTTAAATAAATTGTTAATAGTAATTTTTATAAATAAATTTTAATAAATAAATAAAAATATATTATGTTGAAATAAAATAATTTCTGTACCTTTTTTAAAAAAAAAAAAAAAACTTCAGGAATTGTTATTCAGAGAATTTGAGCAGGCTTGTGAAGAAAGTGGAACTTGCAAAAGTGTTTCACAACAAAGAAGTGCTGTAGCAAAAATACGATGTATTCGAGAATGCGTATCGCCTTCATGTTACAAAGAAATTTATCTATTTGACCAAGTAAATATAATATAACAATATTTTATCTTATAACTAAAAAACTAATGTATCTTAAAATATACAATAAATTTTTTTTTTTTTGTTTTCAGTTAGAAGAAGGAGAGATAGACGTAAGACTGAATTCCTTTAAAGGATGTTTTATGCAACGTAGTGGACGTCCTCGTAAGAAATAATCAATTTTATATAAAAAAAAAAGAAAACAAACAAACAGAAAAAAAACCAATTCCATTTGTTAAAAAATGCACAAGAAAGTTATCAAATTTCTAAAGTTAGAACGTAAGTTTTTTGATCAAGATCAATTTATATATAATATATATATATATAGAACAAAAACTATATAATCTATAATTACAATTTTTCAAATTTAAAGTTAAATGCGTAACTTTAAATGTAAATGAATCAGCCTTAGTGTTTTTCGTACTTTGAATAAAGATTTTAAAAACTCAATAATGTCAACAAAAATAAAAAATAAAAAAATAATATAATATCTTGTGTAAAGATAAAAAAAAATAATTGCTTACTCATGTACCGTCAAATTCCATTCTATTTCGAATCATCTAATTTTTTTCCATAATACTGTACCTAAAAAAAAAATAACAATTAAAACTAATAAAAATCTCATATCTATTGAGATCCTTCAGCCAAAAAAATATATATTTGTCCTAAACAAATTATTACGTTGATATTGAAACAAATATGTATGGATTTTTCTTTATTTTATAGTCCATGAAAGACAAATATATATATATTTTTTTTTTTGAAATAAATTAAAATCTTTTAAATAAAATCAAATTAGAAATAATTAGATATTTTCGAAAATTAAAATTTTAATAATTAACAATGATAAAAAATTTAGATAAGTCGAATGATAATAAAAAATAAATTAAATTTAAAAAAAATGAAAAATAAACTTACCATTTTAATAAAATCATAAACAATATCACTGTGTTCTGCGGCGCTCAACAATAATGGTACTAAACTTCTTAATGCTGTTACTATATCTTTAGATAATTTACTCAATGGATTATTCTTTGATTCGTATGTTTTTAAACAATCCAACCAAACTGTTACAAAATTCAAAAAATGATATTTAATTTCCTTTGTACTAAGAATTTCCTGAATAACACTGTCTATTAAAAATGGTGTTGAAGGACACATTAAAAATTTCGTCATATCAAATTGTTCTTGTGTACAATAGTTTAGAATAGTCGTGAGACATTGATAGGTTTGACCTTCCTTTCCAGGTGGAAGCTTTAAAAAAAAAAAATATATATATATATAAAATATAACAATAATTTACAATCAATTTCATTTTAAATAAATAGCAATTTTATTTTTTCACAGATTACGAAAGAAACAATAATTTTATTTCATAATTATAAATCTTTTAACATTAATTATGTAAGTTTCCATTAATTTCGAAATTTATTTTATTTTTTTATTTAAATTTTAGGAAAACAAAATAAATTTCTTTTTATTAATTTAAAAATTCTGAATTCACTAAAATTATCCACTGAATATGAATGAAACTAATGTCAAAGTAATGTTTCACGTCCATATAAATTAAAGTAATCATAATTAAAGGATTTTTTTTTTCTTAAAAAAGATAAAAAAAAATTTTTTTTAATTAATTTGTAATAATCGCCGCCTTTACCCCATTTTACTGTACTTTTTTCCTTTAGGCAAAGACTCAGATTTTTGTCTAATTTCAATCACCCTTTTTTTTAGGATTTGTGCAAATTCCTATAAGAGCCTACGTTAGATTGCAGAAATATATATTTTTTTCTAAAAAACTATGTTTTTAAAAAACATAAAAAATTCTTTAAAAAATCATGACTTTCTAAATTGACCTGAAGAACAAATTGTGAAAATTTGATAAGTTTGACTCATTTCCAAATATTGCCGGCGATAATCCTTAACAAAAATAGAGAAGAAATAAATTTTTTAGAAAGAAATTTCGACTCACCTCACCGTGACATAAATGAACAAAAACATAAAGATGATAAACATCCTTTAAGTCTTTGTCATCTTTTAATTTAATTAATCGAATTACTGGATTATCCACTTTGTTTCTTATGGCAAATTTAATGAATTCCAATCCAAATACTACAGAAATTTGATTTTTTTTTAAATTATCAAGAAATGTATTGAGATTTTCAAATGTCAATTCAGATAAAGTTTTACTCTAAATCAAACAAATAAACAAAATTATTATCATTTATATGAAAATATAAATTGACAATTAAAATATCAGGGTAGGTAATCATTTTTTTCGATCTATATAGATAAATAATTAATTAAAATAATTTTATTCATTTACCTGAACGTTATATAGAATTTGGCACACCATTAAACAAGTTAACGTTCGTAAGCTCATTTCCGTTAACATTGTTTGATTAAAAGAAAATCCTCCATTATAGATTTCTCTCAAAAATCGTTCATTTTTAAAATATATTTCTGAAACTAAAAACAATATTTTTATTGCAAACTTTAATTTTACAAATAAAAAAATTTTTTTTTTTACTTAAATCAAATAAACTGTAACAAATACCTTTTACATCATTACTTTCGACAGATTGTCGAATTGTAAAAGACGCTATTGTTATCAATAGAGTCTTTAAAATTATATCTGTTTCACCATCTCGGTGAAGAATTTTACAAATTTCAGTTGCGCATTTTCTTATAATTTTTTTATTCACGACTTTTGAAGTCGGTAATGTACCAGTCATTCTGAGAATAGTTTTCAACACTTCAGCTAAAAGAAAATGTTTTAATTTTGTCAAGAATTCATTTTATAATTCGCATATATATTTCTTTTAAATATTCAATAAAAATTTCTAAATATATAATATTAAAAATTTTCATTGAAAAACAAAACAAAAATATTGAATTAAACATTAAATAATTAAAAATATTAAATATATATATATAAAAAAAAACTCACAGTTATTTGAAGAGTAATGCGGTAAATTATCCGCCAATGTTTTCCAGACAAATTCAATTACATCGTCTGGAATGACATTTTCGGAATGTAAAAGTGACACATATGCATTCAATGCATTATTCGGATCTTTTATAGCTTTTTCATGGATTATTGCCTATGTTAGAAAAAAAAGAATAAAAATATTTATAAAAAAATTTTTTTTTTAAATTTCCAGTAAATATATAATTCTAAATATATTTTCATGATTTTTAATTTTTGAATGCTCATAACTTCCTTAAAAATGCATCAATTTTGTCTTTTTTTCAAAATATTTGTTTTTAAACGTACTTTTCAACAACAAAAAAATTGAAAATTTTTTTAAAACGATATTACTATCAAATTTTTGAGTTTCAATGATAAAAAGTCATTTTTCTCATTTGAGGTACTGATCGATTTTTTTCAAAATTTTTTCACAAAAAACTACTTCTTTTTACGAAACATTTAAGCCTATCCCGATAATGGACAAACAATTTTTTACAATATTTTCGTAATTTTTCAAAAATTTTTGAATTTTTTAAAAATATTTTTAGTTTATTTTTTTTTTGTGTATTGTCACTATGATTTTCGTAATCAGCGCATCAAAATACATAAAAGTACGTAGTATAAAAAAAACCAAAAATATTTTTAAAAAATTAAAAAATTCCGAAAATATTGTAAAAATCGTTTGTTCATTATCGGGCTAGGCTTAAAAGTTTCGTAAAAAGAAGTAGTTTTTTTTTGAAAAAATTTTGAAAAAAAATCAATCAGTACGTCAAATGAGAAAAATGACTTTTTATCATTAAAACACAAAAATTTGATAGTAATATCGTTTTAAAAAAATTTTCGATTTTTTTTTTGTTGAAAAGTACGTTTAAAAACAAACATTTTGAAAAAAAAGACTTTTAAAATTGATGCATTTTAAAGGAAGTTATGAGCATTCAAAAATTAAAAGTCATGAAAATTCTCCAATTTTCAAAATTCTATAACTCGAAAACGGCTTGCTAAAAAAATTTGAAAAAATTCATGGAAGCTAGTCTCAATTAGTACTAAAAGAAAAAAAAACTGAAAAAAAACCGGAGATGCAATTGCAGATGGACTTACACTTTGGCGTAGAATACATCATATATATATGGAAAATAAATAAAATATTGAAAATAAATAAATAAAGAAATCAACATTTCTCACCATTAGAAGTTTAACAATTTTTAATTCACTATAATTTTCATCAAGACATTTTTTTATCAATACATCCCAATCTCTATCGTTTTTACTATTATCCAACCATAAACTTATAGTTTTAATTCTCAAGCTTTCTGGAAAATCAATTTCTGCGATTGCATAAAGAAGAAGATCTTCATTTTGTGTATATATTAATTGCAGTTTCTTTTGCTTTTGCAATAAACCTGCAAGACTTTTAACTGCTTTTGAATAGGAACGATCAATTTGTGTTTTTTTCGCTGCCAATGCTGTAGCCTTTAAAAATTGAACAAAAAATTTTTTTTTCTATTAATTTTGAATGTTTAAAAAAAATTATATTTCATACACAGGATTGCCATAAAATTTTTATTATAATTTTCTCTGACTTACTACTTCCAGACAATATTTTGTGTATTTTCCCTGAGATTTTTAAATTTTATTCATTTTTATCAAATGTAAATTGGATAAAACAAAAATTATGATAAATAAATGAAAATTCGATCAAATAAAAATTATGTTAAACAAACATAGTATAAATAACAATAATTCAATTTCTTTAAAAAAAATTCAATTAGAAATTTTCAAAAGTTTCAATGAAATTCTTTTTAAAAATTCAATTATTTTTATTTTATTTAAATTTTTAGTTTAAAATCTTTCAAAAATAGAAAAAAGTGTAAACTTTTAATAGCAACACTTTCAATATTGATTTATTTCTATTAAATTCATTTATGTTATTTGTAAAAAAAAAAGTTAACTAAACATTTTGCAAATTTTATGAATTTCAAAAAATTCAATATACTTTTTTAATATAATTTAATTATTTAAACAATTACCCAATTAAAACAATAAAGTTTTTCATATTTTTAAATATTTTCCAAATTTTCAATTGAAAATCTCTTAAAATTTAATCATTAACAAAAAATTTAACTGATAGACTTCGAAAATTTAATTAATTAAAAAAATGTTATCAAATATTCTTTAGAATTTCAATTATTTGCAAAAATTTATAATTAAAAATTCTCTAAAACTGAATTATTGTTAAAAATTTGTAAATAAAAATCTTCAGCAATTCAAATTTTCAAAAAATTCCAATTTTAACTCTTCTGAAATTCAATTAATTTTAAAAATCTTAATAGAAAATATTCGAAAATTTAAGTAAATTTTTAATTTTTATCTAAAATTCAATTATTTTCCAAAATTTGTATAAAAAAAAATACGAGTATGAATTTCCAAAAAATTTCAATTTAAAATTACTTGACATTAAATTATTTCCAAAAAATATAACATGTTAATTTTCAAAAATTCAATTATTTTGATACATTATCAAAAATTTTGTACGTATTTGTGTGCAAATAATTGTAGAAAAAAACTGTCGATTTGTTGTTGTTGGTAATCAAAAATTTAGTAACGTAATTGTATGAATTTTGAATAAATTTTAACAATGAAAATTTTTTGTAAATCAGATTTAATTTTTTTTTTTATTTGAATTTTCCCTCTTAATTTTGAATTTTAACCGTTTTATCTTAAACTGGATTTTTCTAGTATTTTAAACTATATAAATATTATTTTATAAAATTTTAATAATGTTTTTGAAAATTTCATAAAAAGAAAAACTTACCGAAAACAATAACCAAATGGCCTTCAAAAATATCCTTTCTGAGCACTTTTCAACGACACTTGTTAATTTTACTGATAATGACTTTTGAGTGACAATGAATATTCTGCGAAAAAAAATATAAAGTTAAAAAAAAATATTTTTGAGCATAAATGAATAGAAATAATAATAATTTAAAATTAAATTTTGAAATTTACTCTTTAGTGCCTATATAGTGACAATAAATTAATATCAACAATGAATCAGCTGGACATGTGTGAATTTTCAAAAGATTTTCCCATTGTTTGCAATCAATTTGTAGTGTTTCAAAACCAGTGCGTAGAAATATTTGAAATGCAATTAAACCACCTTGCCAATTATTTATTGGTAATTTTAAATAATCTTTTAATATTACTATTATTTCAGACATGAGATTGCAAATTTTATTTCTAAAAAGAGTACTGAAAAAGAAAATAATTTTTAGAGAAGATAGTAAAAAAATAATTCTTGTCAATAGACCGAATCCATTTTAGAATAAGATGGTCAATTTATTTTTTTTACCAATTTAAAAAATTGCGAATACAATTTTTACTATAAAAATAAAGTAAATAGGTAAATTTCTAGCGATTTTTTGATTTTTATCATTGAATTCAAAATACGCAAAATTTTGTTTAAAAATCTTTTTTTTTCAAATAAAAAATAATATTTTTATAATGAAAATAGATTCGGTCCAAAGAAATACTTTTATTAAATTAAATTAAATATTACTTCTCATGATAAAGAATTGATAATTCGAGTAAATATTTCAAATATCCTCGGGATAACAATTCAATGCATATCTTTTCATCTTTAATCATATATAATTTTATTACAACATTTAAAAATTCAATCAGAAGATTAACAGTACTAAAATCGAGGATCATACTCTGAAATTCAAATAATAATTATTATTCTTCATAATATTAAAATAAAATTTATAATATAAATGTCTATACCTTTGGAAATGGGAGTAAAAATTCCAATGTGACACGTCTAATTGTTTCAATGAGAGATATTTTAAATTCCGGAATTTCTAACACTGATGTTGCAGCCGAAGAACCACTACATTTATTCTCAAGATCTTGTTCGTTGATCTCATTACAAAAACTGAGAACAAAAAGACAAAAACAAAAAAATTTTTTTTTGTAAGCCCATTTACATGTAAATAAATAAATAAAAATTTAAAAAATTCTGTAAAACTACAAAAAAGAAAAAACATATTTAATTTCTAAAAGTAGGAAAATAAATTTAAATGAAATAATATTTACTTGGCTAATGTAAACGAAGTGCAGCAAATATTTTGAAATTTCTCTAAATCAGAAATTTCATTTGATATCATTAGAAATTTCATTACATTATCATATAGATATGTAATATTTTTTAGATGAATGTATTTAAAATTTTCCGAACTGTATTTTATTAGAAAATTAAATAATTTCGTTGCTGATAATATTGAATGTGAATCGAAAATTACTCTTTCAAGAAAACTTAATAATCCTTCCTCGTGTTTTTCAATTAAACGAATTCCTTGAGATTCGGTAAAGTCAACGAAAACTCTGTGAATAAAAAATTCGGTCACGTAAAATTGTTCATAATTTTTTTTTGTCATCGCTCCTTTCATAAAAAAAAACATTCGAAAAAAAATTAATAAATATTACATAATTAACAATATTTACAATTAAAATCATTTTTAATTGCAACTATATATTTTCTTTTCAAAATAAAAATTTTCTATTCCTTTTTTTTTCGCGATATTTATAATTCTTAACAAATTTAATTAGTTATAAAAAATATTTTATTATTATTATTATTATTATTATTAATATTATTATTATCATTAAATTAATAAATTTATCTATAATTTATAATAATGAAATTAAAAAATTAAATTATTAAATTAATTTGTCTTGAATTAATCAATCAAATAATTTGAATTATTTTCAAAAAATTTGAGAAAAAAAATTTAAGTTATAAAATAATTACGTCGGTGAAGTTCAGAACGATTAAAAAGAAAAAACATTTTTCTAAACAAATTATTATGTTTTTTATCTAAAAAAATTTTTGTAACATTTCTCGATCAACAAATTTTTAAACGAAAAATTTATTGGCGAAAAATTTTTTTATTTTCCGGAAGAAAAATATTTTTTTTTTTTTTTTTACAATCGTTGAACATAAACGTTGTAAACTTCACCGAAGTAAATAATTAATCAAATAATTTAAATTATTTCTAAATTATAAATAAAATAATTGAATTTTTTTATAAAATGGAGTAAAGTCGGCGATTTTTTAAAGTTTTTCTTAAAAAAAAAAAAAACCACGGCAAAAAAAATTATAGAATTTTTTTTTTTTTAAATTATTTCTTTAAAAATCGTTTATCATAAACGTTGAGTACTTCAGCTTCGTTAATAATCGCCGACTTTTTCCCTAACGTCAACTTTACCCCATTTTACAATATTGAATAAAATAATTATATTATTATAATTATTTCTAATTGGAAAGAAAATAAATTTAATAAAATCATACTTGGATACTATTGATACTATAATATTCACAGCTAACGTTGATAGTTCAATTGAATTTATAAGATGATATTTTGTAATGCCTTGAATAGTTTGATCAACTAATCCATTTGTATAAAATGCATTTCTTCCAACAATTATTACTAAACATTCAAGAAAGTCTCTGAAAAAAATTTTCAATAAAAATTATATATTTGTTGAATATATTGTTAATAAAAAAATTAAAAAGAATTTTATTTTATGAATGAAAATGAGCCAAAAATTTTGAACGTTCAAATGAACGAAACATTTTTTTTTCAATTATTTATAAATTATTAAAAATTATGATGGCATTTGTAAAATAAAAAAAGTAAATTAAAAAATTATTAAAATAAATATGATCAGTTGGGATAAATGGGGACAAGAGGTTTTGGAGCTTAATTTACAGTTTTAAAATTAAGTTCAACGTCAATATTTTAACCTCAGATCACCTGCAAGAGGTTTTGAGAAATTGCCAAGCTTTTATCTTGACAATTGGCAGCAAGATAAAAAAAATTTATCGCTCAATGCATAAAAACTTGAAAATCAAAGTCAAACTGTTTCAGTATTTTGTCGAGCATTTCAAAGAAAACAGACTTAAAAATCATACCAAATTTTTTTCTTATTCCTTATGACTTCTATAAGATATATTCACTTGAATTTTTTATTTTTGTCATTATTAACCAAATTAAACAAAAATAAATTTTTCAAATGCGAGACAAAATACTAAAATAAAAAAATAAAAAAATTTCAATTGCTTCAACTATGCTGTCCCCATTTACCCCAAATTTTATGAAATTTTCTAAATTTTGGGGTAAATGGAGACAGTCAGTTTTATGCGTAGTACGCAACGTTTATGATAAACGATTTTTAAAGAAATAATTTTTTAAAATGAAAAATTCTATAATTATTTGCCTAAAAAATATTTTTTTTTTACAATTTGTTGATTAATGAAAACTACAATAAATATTTTTTAGGCGAAAAATTATAGAATTTTTCATTTTAAAAAATTATTTCCGTAAAAATCGTTTATCATAAACGTTGCGTACTTCAGCTTCGTGTAATTTATGAAAAATAGCGATTTTGTCCCCATTTACCCCAACTGACCCTAACTTCTTTTTAGATATTTAAAACAATATTTTACAATAAAATTCGTACTTAAAGAAGTTACAAAAAAAATTCCCTTCATTTGAACGTTCAAAACTTTTGGCTCATGAATAAAAATTAAAAATTAGTGAAAATTTTTTTTGTATATTAATAAAAATAAATGAATTTTTTATACCTGCTAGTTAAAAGATTAACATTTTGTAACAAATCACTAATAATACCATTGTAAACTAATTGTGTAACTAATTCTTCTCCGTCATTTTCACGTAAAACCTCCAATAAGTAGAAAATAATTTGTGCCTGTTGAAAAAAAAAGATTTTAATTTATTTATTTTAATATATCAATTAAATATTTAATTGGCTGTTAAAAATTGAAATAAAATAAAAGAACTTAAAGTATAATAAATATAAATAGAAAAAAAAATATCCTTTTTTTATTTTCAACCAATTAAAGTTGAAAGGAACTTTAAACATTTACAATTTCTATTCTTGAATTTTAACTAAATTTATTTTAAATTGTTAAAACAAAAAAAAACAAAACAAAAAATAATTGAACAATAAGAAAACAAAAAACAATTGAACAAAATAAACTATTACAGATTACACTAAATACTTTATTATATCTCATATAAAAAAAAAAGTTTTCTTCATATCATTATTTACACACAAAAAAGAAAACATAAATTGAAATATGTATCAACACTATTTAGTACTAAATATTTTAAAATTCATCAAAACACATTATTATATGATTTGCAAAATAAATTATATTACTTACACGTGTTTGAGATTTGTCTGTACTCAATTGTATTTTCAGAATGTCAACCACTTTACTAATTTCATTCATTTTTAAAAATCACTTGACACACATTTAATCCAAGTCTCAATTTACTTGTGCGTTCAATTTCTAAATTATTCACTAATAAAACTCAGTTATTCGTAATATATAGAAGAAAGATCTTTTTTTTCCCGATAACCGTATTTCTTGGAATTAGATCAAAACAAAATTTGAAGGACTTGGAGTAACTTGTAAATAATACGTAACGCCGGTAACTAGGTGGCGCTACATTGATAGAGCGGGAAATTTTAAATTATTTGAAATTTCAAATAAAAAGAAATCAGAAAAGAGTTAAGGGGTTAGGGGTAGTCAGAATTTTCAAAAAATCAAATTTTTTTTTTTTGCATTTTCGTTAAGTAAAATATCTTAAAAATAATCTCTGAAAATTTCAAGTTAATCCGATAATTCGTTTTTAAGTTATTCGACAAATAACAAAGAGAGCTCGGGCCTTTGAAAGCGTTCGGGAGCGCTTGCAGCTAGTGTCAGCTGCAAGAAATCGGCTTTTAGGGTTCTATTGTCATCGATGAACTCAGACTTGGGTATATGTAGTAGTACCTAAATTAATATGGCCCAGGAATAGATGACTCGGTGTAAGTAATTTAATAATTCGTTTTTTTGTACGTAAATCTAGTGTGAAACTAAACGCGTTTTTCTCAAAACTATGTTTTTTGAACTGGTGACAACTATAACTCGAAAACCGCTCAGTCGATTTTAATGAAATTTATACAGCTTTTAGAATACATAATAAACTCGGGCCTGATCGAAGGATTTTTTTTTTTTTGAAAAATTTCGATTTTTTAAGACCAATTAACTGTTGATTTTTTCCCAAAAATCTAGACAAAAATTTCCTGAGGCCGCCATTTTGTTAATTTTTGAAAAAAAAAAATCCTTCGATCAGGCCCAGGATTATTTATTTATAAAACTAATTTTTTTTATCCGATTGATTTCTGATTAATCTCCAAGGACTTATGATTGTCACCGCAAGGACCTTTTTTTGGAACTGGGTTAACACAAACAGCTGTAACTTCGGAAATAAAAATTTTTTTTTTTTGAAATTTTCGTGACTTCAAGTCAAAACATTGTTTAATAATACCATATTACTACTTTTGTAAAATAAAATTATTTAATAGCAAAAAAAAAATACTGAAAATTCTCATTTTTTCGTGCCTCTGACTACCCCTAACCCCTTAAACAATTTTTTTTTCTCTTTTTTTCTATCTTGACTAAATATAAAATACTGATGTATTTTAACAGCGCAAAAATAAGAAAAAAAAATTTAGGGTAGGCAATAATTATTATTTGCCATTTTTTATTTTGCGAAATATTTTACGCATTATTATTTTTGTAATTTTTCTTCAATACAAAATTTTTAATTTTGTTAATAATTAATTAATTTATACTTGTTAAAATTTTGTTTTAGATATACACATTTTTTTATCATAATACAAATTCGTAAATTTAATAATTCGTTTTTTTTTGCATAAAAATTAAATACTAATTAAAAATATATTGAAAAATAAATACAAAAATTGTTTAATAATAATAAAATATATCGTATAATAAAATTTTTAAATAATTTAGTAACTAATACATTTTAATAAATTATTTTTAATTTCTATAAAATCATTTTATAGATTACCTTCATTAAATAAATTTCCTTTTTGTTTAAAACTGTGAAACAAAATAAATATTACATACCTTGAATTAATAATCATATAAAGTTAAATAATTGTCTACCTGAAAAAAAGAAAAATTAACAATTATAAATTTTCTACAACATTTTTTGTAAATAAATTAAATTAAAAAAAAGTAAATAAATTCATAAAAAAAAATAAACTTACAACTGAACAGAAATCTTCTATTAAACTATCTTTTCTTTTTATATTTAATAATATTGATCGAAGTTCAGAAAGAAGAGCTATCGATTGTTTAATGTCAGAATTCAATATCAATTGTTCATTTCTTCTGGCCCATTGAATGTGTCTCAGCCATGTTATTGCAAAATCTTGAAAATTATAATTCGCCTCTAATAAATTAGAAATTCTATTGATTGCTCTTTTAAAAACAAAAAATGTTGCAGGACACTTCAAAAATGGACTTAAATTTATTTTTTGAAAAAAACAATAGTAAAGAATTGTTGAGAGACATTCATAGATTTTTTTTTGACCATCAACATCAGTCTGGAAAATTAGACAATAATTTTTTTCAAATCTTTGTAAAAAAAAAAGAAAAAATATGAATTCTTTTTTTTAAATTGGCTAAATAATAATTAAAAATAAATTTCTAAAAATGGAAATCTAGAAAAAAAAATTTTTTAAATAAAAAATTAATTAAATAAATAATAAAAATTATAATTTTTACCTTATAAGAAATATCATGAATCATATGATAAATGTAGAAAATATTTTTCAAATGCAAGACATCATTTTTTTTGTACAATTGAATTAAAGGCGATTCAAGTTGATTATTTAATAATAATTGTTTGATGAATGTGACAAAATAAAATTGTGACTGATTTTTTTGTTTTGTTTTTTCATAAATATTTTTTAAATCTTTTAATTTTACCTCAGCCATTGTTTCACACTGAAATATTAAAAATAAAATTTATAATTATTGAAAAAAACATATTTTTTTTTTAAATCTATTTTTACCTGGATTTGTAATTGTTCTTGAAATAAAAGTAAACCTGTTAAAATCCAGAAATTTACCTGGATTATTGTACTATTTGACGAATTGAAACTGTCATTTAAAACTAGTTTTAAAAAATCATTGTTTTTCAAAAAAGTTTTTGCAGCTGTTGAAAAAATTCAAATAATTTAATAATGTATCATAATTAAAATGTTTAAAATAAAATAATATAAATAATTTTTGATTTTTACAAATATTTTTCTTTTTGAATTACAGAAATTTTGAAACTTTTCATTAATAACAAAAAAATTATTTAATTTTTAATGAAATATTGAAAAAAAAACTATTTTTCAATATTATACCTTTAAAATTTGTTGCATCGAGAGACTGTTGCATTATAAAGACACTCATCGATAGAAGTAATTTTTTTAAATTCAAATTTATCTCTTTTTTTACTGTAACGTCTATCAAACTTTTTGCACATTTATTTACAATTTGAGCCGAGAGTGATAAATTCAATGATAAATTACCGGCTATCATAATTACAACTTCTAAAATTTTACCTGAAAACAATTTTTCATTTATTAAAAACGGACGAAGAATAAAATTTTTTTAAAATAAATAACAAAAATAATTTTATAAAATTAAACGAAATAAAAAAAATAAAACAGTAATTACTATTGTCTGATGTGTAATTTATAAGATCTTGTGTTAGAATATTTAAAACATATTCAACAACTTCAATGGGCATTTTTCTGCCAAATTCTAATAAAGCTGCAAATACTTTTCCAGCATTATCAATATTTTTCATTGAATTTCCATGAATCACATCCTAAATAGAAAAATCATTAACTTTGTCAAAAAAAAAAAAATAAATAAATAAAATAGAAAAACAATTTTAAAATGTAATTAAAAATTACTGAAAAATTATATAATATTAGTTACAAATTGTAAATGTAAATTCGAATATCTTACCATTAAAATTTTCACAATTTTCAAATCATTATAACCTTGATCAAGACATTGTTCAATGAATAAATTAAATTCTTCAACACTTTTACTTTGATCAATCCAAAGACGAATAATTTGCACTCGCATTTCATCGGAAATTAAAATATTTTTCATTGTGAAAAGAAAGAAACTTTTATGATGCGTGTAATCAATGTTTTCAAATTTTTCAAAAATAGTTGTCAATGTTTTTGTAGATTGTGAAAACTCTGAAAATATACCAGTAACTGGAGAAACCTTGAAAACATAAAAAAAAATTAAATATATAACAGATTTGAATAAAAATAATTTGAAAAATAGAAAATAATTTGAAATAGTTTTATACCGCATATAATAGTAGTAGAACTTTGAGAAAAATTCGTTTTGTACAGCTCACATCGAGATTCATTAAATGTAAATTTATTGCTGTTTTCGTAAAAATATATTTCCTATTAAGAAAAAGTAATATTAAATTCTATTATAAATATTATTTATATTCATTTTCATAAATATTGTAAAAAAAGGAAATTTTTAAATATTTCGAAATTTAAAAATTTGATAAAAATTCGTTAAATAAAAAGAAAAATTACTCTTCTGTAACGAGAAAGTGACAATAAAACAAAACCAGCAAAGAATTTGATTTTTCGTTTGGAATTTTCAAATTTTCTTCCCACTTTTTCAAATCTCGTGGCAATTGTTCAAAACCAAAGGAGAGATAATTTTGAAATGTCAATGAACCATTTTCCCAATCATTTAAAGAAAATTGAAAAAAATTTTCAAGTGACACTATTATTTTAGACATCAATCGACAAACTTTCTTTCTAAAATCGAGCCTATAAAAAAAAAAAAAATATTAATTTAAAAATTTTTTTTTTTCAAAAATATTCAAGATTTCATTTTACTTCTCAGAATCGAAGATGGATAGATTTAAAAAATATTTTAAATAATTATTTTCAACAAGTTTAAAACATAGTTGAAAATTATCATAAAATTTCGAACTTATTGACAATTCCAAAAAGTCAATAAAATCTTCAGCCGACGTAATATTAATTTCTGCACTCTGTAATAAATTAATTTTAACGTTTTATATTGTAATATTAAAAATTGTTTCAATTTTATTATACATACATGTAACATAGGAACAACATTTTTCATTGCAGTTTGTTTAATTATATTGAAAATTTTCTTTTCAACTTGTTCCTCGATTACATCGATTTTACAACAAACACTAAAAATTTACAAAAAATTTTTAAAAGAAATATTTAAAAATATTATTAATTAATAAATAGAAATTAATTATTAATATTAATTAGTAGGACGTTATAATTATAATATTAGAATAAAAGAAAAAAAAATACATACTTAGCAATTGAAAATGATACACAACAAGCAGTTCTTATTCTTTCAAAATAAGAATCATCTTTAAATTTTAATAAATAATCCATAACTTGAAAATAAATTTTCTCTATTAAGGAAAAATATGTCTGTTGAAAATTTAAATCACTATATTTAATGACAAAATTAAATAATTTCGCTGCAGTGAGCAGAGAACTCAATTCAAAAGTTGTTTGATTGAGAAAATTTAATAATTTTGCCGCATGTTTTTCAATTAATAAAATACCATTCTTTTTGTTTAATTCAAGTTCTCTGAAAAAAAGAAAAATTTTCATTCATTAAAAAAAAATGAATAAAATAGGAAAAACAAAATTATTTTTAAAATCGTAAAATAAATATTAAATAAATACTGTGACAATAATGTGAAGAAAATATTTAGAGTCACTGTTGCTTCTTCTTTGGAATTGATTAAATCTGATATTTTAACAAATGTTAGAGTTTTGTCAATAAAATAATTTTTTATAGCTAATCCTCTTCGTATTATCAATTCCAACGATTCCAGAATATATCTAAAAATAAATTATAATAATATTTACATTTTTTTCCCCTTGTTCTGCGAATAAATAAATAAATATTTTTAAAATAAATTATAATATTCATTATATTACATAATAAAATTGTAATGAATGTTATATTACATACAGTTAATAAATAATTTTCAAAACTTGATTATAAAAAATAATCAATAATAAAAATAAAGACAAAATGGGGTAAAGTCGACGATTTTATTATACAAAAATAATACTTTTTTCGTTCTAATTTGGGAAGGAACATTTCTTTTTCCATACATTTTATAGATTAGAAACAAGTGGAAATATATAAATTTTGAAACTAATAGTTATTTTAATTTATATTCATAAAAATTCCAGAAAAGTTAAAAAAAATTCCCTCACTTTTCCCTGACCGTTACGAAGCTGAAGTACGCAACGTTTATGATAAACGATTTTTTAAAGAAATAATTTTTTAAAATGAAAAATTCTATAATTTTTTCGCCTAAATAATATTTCTTGTAGTTTTCATTAATCAACAAATTATAAAAAAATCTTTTTTAAGCAAAAAAAATTTGAGAATTTTTTATTTTTAAAAATTATTTCTTTAAAAATCGTTTATCATAAACGTGTTGCGTACTTCAGCTTCGTTAACCGTTAGACACCCTGTTAATTTGTAATAATCGCCGACTATTCCCCTAACGCCGACTTTATCCCATTTTACGGGACAATTTTATAATTAAAAAATAATATTAAATACTCTTACTTTTGATTCAAAGAATTCATGGCTTCTAAAATATTTATCATGACATTAGATTCAAGAAATTCTTCCATAAATTTGTCATCATTTTCATAAAGCGTTTTTAATAAACAAAAACTAGCTTCGCACTGTAAATTAAAAAAAAGAAAAGAAATAAACATATAAATTAAAATATAAACATTTGTGTTAATTTTATTATTTTTCCAAAACTTATATAGATTATAAAAATACTTGTTATAAAAAGAGAAACACTTTACACACCAGTTTTTCGTATAAGTAAAATTCAACTTTATAGGTTAGTGTTGCAAAAATAAAATTATTATTACCTATCAACTAATTTACCAATTATTAGAGTATAATTATAACTCCTTCGAAAATTAACATTCTGCTGAAATAAAAATTCAATCCTTGGAAGGTATTCAACATTTCTTTTTTGAAATGTTTGAGGTTATGTTTAAAACAAACAAAAAATTCAATATTATAGGAATACTTACATTTGAATTTGAATCAGCACTTCTAAACTGACGTTTAATAAAATCAATTTTCTCTTGAAATTCTCTCATTTTTTTTTTTTATCTTTTATTTCATTGATATTATTTTCTTTGATTTTCTTCTTCACTGATGCCGGTTTGGCGGTTGCGGTTTTCAGAACCAAAACAAAAATGTAAAAGTTGTCTGTATAGATGGCGCTACTATCGACTGGCGCGAAAATTTAAAATCTTTTGAGATCATATAGGCATAATAATAATCAAGCATTTCAATTTTTTTTAAAGAAGAAAAAAGTTATTCATATAAATATAGACATTTAATAATTATGTAGCACAATACTTACATTAATATACATGAATTATACATTTTTTTACATGTAACACATATACTATAGATAAAAAAAAAAATTTGCATTTAAATAAAATAATTAACAATTAATTATTTTCTGCAATTCAATTAGAAATGGTATCAATGCATTTGCGTCAGAATTCAATTTAAACTGTTTGTTATTAATTATTGTAGCCCATTGCACGTGCCTCAACCATGTTAGGGCAAAAGCAAAAAATGTATAATAATAATTTATTTTCTCCATATTTTGTATTCTGTTAATTGTCCGTTTAAAAATCACTGGTGTTTCAGAACACATGAGTAATGGACATATATTAAAATTTTTATAGAAACAATAATGAAAAATTGCCGAAAGACATTCATAGATTTCATCTTGATCTTCAGCTTCAATCTATATAAATAGAAAAAAAAAATCATCAATTTTTTTATTAAAATTTAAAAAACAAAAAAAATATTAATTTTTCAAAAATACGATTAATAGTACTACATTATTATTAATAATATTTTAAATAATTAATAATTATTTGTAAATAATAAAAAAAAATGATAATTTACCTCAATATAATTAATGTGGACCATATTATAAATACGAAGAATATTATCGAAATCTGAAGTTTCATTTTTTCTGCACAATTCAATTAATGGATATTCAAGTAAATTATTTAAGAATAATTCCTTTAGAAATCTTATAAAAATAAATCGCCTATAGTGATTTGGATGTTTTTCTATTTTATCATAAACATTTTTAAGGTCCTTAAATTTTAATTGTGACATTGTTTTACACTGAAAATTGTGAAAATAAAATATTAATAATATTATTTTAAATTTAGAGGATAATTTTTTCCAAAACAAAAAAATACCTCGAATAAATTAATCAAAGTAAAATTTTTTGAAATTTAAAAATAATAATTAATAAAAACAAATTAATTACATTTTAGAAATAGAAAAACTTATCAATTAAGACTAGTCTAAAGATTTTATATTTATATATTTTTACCTGAATTTCTAATGTATGTTGACATAAAAGTAAACGAGTTAAAATACAAATGCTCATTATAATTAATGCACTCTTCTCCGTGTTGAAACCATAATCGAAAACAACTTTGAAAAATTCATCGTTTTTCAAAAAAAATTTTGCAGCTATTGACAAAAAAAAATTGAAATTATTTTAGTATATTTCAAAAATAAAATAAAAAGAAAACCCCTAATAAATAATTGAAATTAAAATAATAATTACCCATGTAATTCTTTGTTAGATAAGAATTGGTAAGTAAAGTGAAACACATCGAGAGAACTAATACTTTTAAATACAATTCAATATTATCGTTTACTGTAAAGTTTCTCAAACTCATCGCACAATTATTAACAATATCATTGGAGAGTGATGACACAAAAGGTAATCTAAAGGCTAATTCGCACAAAATTACTAAGCATTTACCTGAAAATTCAATTTAAAAAAAGTCACAAAAAATATCAATAAAAAAAAAAACCAAAATATTAAACAGGCCTTGAATCAACTTTAAGGCACAAAAATTTTTTATTAATTTCTTAATAAGAATAATTCTATAAGAATATTATCAAGAAAATTTATTTTAAATATTTCAGAATCGAACTAAGATAAATTTTCAAAATTAAAAATTTTCAATCATTAAAAATAATAATTGTATTTGGAAGGAGTTTGAGTTGAAATTATTAAATTATAAAAAGTTTAAAGATAAAAAATTTTAGAAATAATTAAATTTTAGAGGGATTTAAATTGAAATTTTTGCAAATTATTGAATTTCAAATGATTTTGAATTAAAAATTTTTGGTAATTTTATTTGCTAATTTTAAACAATTGTTGAATTTCATAAAATTTTTAATTGAAAAATACTTTAAGATACATAATTGAATTTGTGAAGAATTTAATAAAAAAAGTATTGAAAATAATTAATTTAGAGAGGAATTTTAGTTAAAAATTTGTTACATTTTTTTAAAAAAATTGTAAAAAAAAAGTCAAAAAAAATCATGTTATCAAAAAAAAAAAAAAAAAAAAAATCAGAAAAAGTCGTATAATCCAAGGCCTGTATTAAATTTTCACCAACCTTTTTAAAATAAAACAAAATAGAAAAAAAGTAAAACTTACTATTGTCAAAAGTCAAAGTGTGCTTATTAAGATCATCTGTTAAAGTTTTTAAAAAAAATTCTTCAACTTCAACAGGCATATTTCTACTTTTTAATAAAATTGAAAATACTATTGTCGTATTATTAACAGTTTTCATAGAATTTCCATGAATTAAATCCTGAACATAAAAAATAAAAATATTTTCTAAAAGTAAAGTATTAAAAAAAAATGGCTAATAAAAAAAATTATTATTAAGCATAAAAATAGATATATATTAAATTATTAATAAAAAATATAAAATGCAAAATCTCACCATGAAAATTTTAACGATTTTCAAATCACTATAACCTTGATCAATGCATTGTTTTATGAGTAATTTTAATTCTTCATCATTTTTACTTTGATCAATCCACAAACGTATTATTTGCACTTGCATTTCATCAGAAATTGCATTATTTTTCATCATAAAAAAAAGAAGACTTTTATGATGCGTGTAATAAATTTCTATACTGTCTTGTTTTTCTAAAATAGATGTGAATTTTTTTGTAGCTTGCAAAAATTCTAAAAATGGACCAGTAATTGGAGAAACCTTAAAAAAAAATAATGCAATTTAATTTTATTTGAAAATTTTGTTCTTTAAATATGAAAATTTAGATTTATTAGACTAAAATTATTTTCTAAAATTAGAAAATAATTGAAGTAGTTTTATACCGCGTATAATAGCCAAAGAACTTTTAGAAAAATTCGTTTTGTACAGCTCACATCGAGGTTCATTAAATTTACAGTTAATGCCTTCCTCGTAAAAATATATTGCCTGTAACGAAAAAAATTATTTTTAATCAAAAAAAAATATATATATATGTATACTGAACCTTAATTTCGCAAAGTAGAAAATTCAATTTAAAATCTTGTAAATAACAAAGTTTTTTTTAATTAAAAATTTTTTTTTATTAATTAAATGCAATTAAAAAGAATTTTATATTATTAATTTTTCTACATTGCGGAATTAAAATATTAATTTCAATTATTGAAAAGTTAAGAGGAGAAAAAAAATTACTCTTCTGTAACCATAAAGTGACAATAAAGTACAATTAGTAATGAACTGAAATTTTCATTGGATATTTTTAAATTTTCCTTCCACTTTGATGAATTATGTGACAATTTTTCTAATCCAGTGAAGAGAAAATTTTGAAAAGTCACTACATTATAATTCCAATCACTCATGGGAAATTGAAAATAATTTCTGAGTGTGACTATTATTGTAGAAATCAATTTACACACTTTTCTTCTAAAATCCAATCTAAATGAAAAATAAGAGCAAAAAAAATGTTATACTAAATTAAAATGTTTAATAGCAAAATGTTAATATTCAATATAAATTAATTTTTTATTTAATATAAATTTATTATTCAAATTAAATAATAAATAATTCATGTTTTTAAAAAACTTAAATTATTTTTTTTTACCTGTCTTCATTGAAAGCGGATAAATAATTAAGTAAAAATTTTAAATAATAATGTTTCACGAGTTTCAAACACAATTCATAATTATCGTGGAATTTTGAATTTATTGCTAATTCCAAAAAATCAATGAAATCATCTGCATATTCAATATCAATTTCTGCATTCTGTGATAGAAAAAGAGTTTTTGAATTTTTAACAAATTTGAAATAGACAAAAATTAGTAATTAATAAAAATGAGTTCATTAAAATTTCTTACTTTTAATACAGGAACAATATTTTTCATTGCAATTTGTTTAATTTTATAGGAAATTTTCCGTTTAAATTGTTCCTCGTTTATTTCACAACTAAAACAAAACATTTTATTTAAATAAAAATAAATAAAATATGTGTAATAATTAAAATAAAAATTTTTCAAAAATTGTGAATGTTCCAGGGTGGCAGAAAAATTTTATTTTCAAAATTCCCTAACTTTTCCCTGACTAATTTTTTATTTTCCCTGATTAAAAAAACTTTTAAATTATTTAATATTCTGCATTGCTGATTGAAATTTTTATAATGCTTTTTAAGTAACAATTTTATTCATAAAGGAAAAGATAAGATAATTAAAAATTGTTTAATAACAAAATTTTATTATATTTAAAACTTTCATTATAAAAAAAAGTAAATATTTTAAAAAATAAAAAATCTGACGGCACTATTATAATGAGCTATATCATAAAAACTTCTAAATAAAAAAAAACTGAATTGACATTTATGTATCAAATTATTTTAATTTGTGGTTTCTTGTAATCAAAATTCCCTGACTTTTAAAGAATTTTTAAAAATTCCATGACTTCTCCCTGACTTTTCCCTGATTTCCAGTTTTTCCCTGACTTGCCGCCACCCTGAATGTTCACAAAAATATATTAGTAAATAAATAATTAAATACCGTAAAATGTGATAAAGTCGGCGTTAGGGGAAAAAACGTCGATTATTACAAATTAATTTAAAAAATTACTTTTTATATTTTCTAAGAAAAAAAAACCTTAATTATGATTACTTTGGTTTGTATGGACGTGAAACATTACTTTAGCATTTGTTTCATTCATATTCAGTGGATAATTTTAGTGTAATATGTGATTTTTTATACAAATGTTCATTTTACATTTTAACTAAATAGTTTTGAAAACATGATTCTAGAGCTCTATTTAAATTTTTTTTTTATGACAAATCCAATTGAACAAGGTATTTCAAACATTCCTGGCATGATTTACCAAAAAGATAAATTGTCATAAAATAAACGAGAATTTTAAAAAACATTCATTTACAAATATTATTGAATTCGGGGGAAAATTCGGCCACAGTAAAAAAAAAAACTAAACAAAATTACATTACTTTCCTTTTCCACTTGTTTCTAATCTACAAAATGTGGAAAAAGAAATGTTTCTTTTTAAATTAGAACGAAAAAAGTATTATTTGTTTAATTTTGCCAAAAAAATATGAACCCCGCAATTCAGGAAAAAGTCGACGACAATAAAAGAGCGTATAAATATTTTTCTGAAGAATAAATAAATTTTTTTATGTAATAATATTAAAGAGGAGTAAAACTTTATATATTCAAAATATTAAAGTTGTTTTTTTTATGTTTTTCTCACAGTTTTTTTTAAAGAAAAACTTAAAAAAAATCGCCGACTTCACCCCATTTTATGGTAATAATTAAAATAAAATTTTTCAAAAATTGTGAATGTTCACAAAAATATATTACTAAATAAATAATTAAATAAATAAAATAATAATAATAATAATTACTTAGCTATCGAAATTGAAATGCAACAAGCAATTCTCATTCTCTCTAAATAGAAATGATCCATAATATTTAATAAATAATCAACACTTTGAAAATAAAGATTTTGAATTGTTAAAAAATTTTTCTGCTGTAAATTTTCTCCACTATATTTAAGAAGAAAATTAAATAATTTCATCGCTATAAGTGAATCATCATTCAATTCAAAAATTGTGTGATTAACAAAATTTAATAATTTTGCCACATGTTTTTTAATTAATGTTATACCATGTATTTTATTTAAATCAAGTTGTCTGAAAAAAAAATTGTATTTTTAATAATCGTAATTAAAAAAAAAAATTTCAAAATACTAAAAATCTTACTGCGACAATAATTTATAAAAGATGTTTAAAGCCATTGTGGAATTTTCATTATTGGAATTTATTAAATCATCGATATTAACAAATGTTATAATTTTGTCAATAAAGTATTTTTTTATGATTATGCCTCTGTCAATTATCACTTTCAAAAATTCGAAAACGTATCTAAAAATTATTATAATTGAAATTAATTAAAATAATACTAATTTAATAGCTAATAAAATAAAATTATAATACGAAAATAAAATAGCACAAAATTAAAATTATAATAAAAAATGATAAAAATAATACGTAAATAAATTTATAAATATTAAATAAATAGAAATAAATTAATAAACAATAATAATAATAATAAATATTCTTACTTTCGATTGGAAGAATTTATGGCTTCTAATAAAATATTTCTCATAACATTAGAATCAAGAAGTTTTTCAATAAATATATCTTCACTTTCATTTAGCAATTTTAATAAACAAAAATCTGCTTGACACTGTAAAAAAAATAGTTATATACCATATAACTTATAAAAATAATGGAATATTTTTGTTTTTACACAATTTTTGATTTTATTTGTCTATTTATAGTAAACATGATGATATATTCCTCCTGAGGAATAGCAGTGTATTTTTCTTCAGGGAACAAATATCACAAACAATTTAATCTAATACTTTTTTTTATACTTACATTAGAATCTATATTATCACCATTTAATTGACGTTTAATCAAATTAAGTTTTTTTCGAAATTCTCCCATTTTTTTTATGCTATTTATTTCGTTAATTTTCTTATAGCATCTCAAACACTTTTTTCTCTCCAGAAGAAAACAACAAATTTATCAAGTTGAACTGTTAATTCCCTAATTTTACGTTGGTGTCGCCATTAGCAATTAGCGGGAAAATTTGAAATCCATATGTGAATTTTTATTTTAATTACTATTTATGTATTATTATTATTAATAGTATATTATTATTATTTTTATTTAATTTATTTAACAAGTTTAATAATAATAATAATAATAATGATTATTAATTAATTATTTACATTCATAAAGAATTAAAAATTTGTAAAATATAATTTTTATTTGTGACGCGATCTGAAGAAAGGGACTTTAGAAGAAAAATATTATTGGTTATGTTTTGAAATTTTTAAGTGAAACTACATAAAGACGTTCAACTCGTAATGCAAACTATAATGATATTTAGGTCTTCATTACATCGAAAATATTCAATAAAAACTGATTTCACTTTTACAAAAACAAAAATAAACTTTTATTTCTATATAAAACTGTCGTAAACATAACCTATAATTCATTTACTTCTAACATCTGTTTCTTCAGATCGCGTACCATTTAAAGAAATTTAATTAAATCGATTTTATTGTATAAATTTTACTTTTCCTTTTTCAAAATTTTGAAATAAGAAAACTCGTTATTTAAAGGCAATAAAAAATATTTATTAAAATTAATTAAATTATTATAATTATAATTTACCACTAAAATGATGTTTAATTTTGTAAAAAATTTATACAATGTAACAATTCTCCGCGACAAAAAGTATATATAATACCTAAACTTCAAAAAAATTTAGGTTATGTTTTTGATTTTTAAAATGAAAATACACAAAGAAGATCAATTATTTATACAAACCATTAATGTTTAAGTCTTTATTACATGAAAAATATTCAATAAAATCTATTTTTGCTTTTGTCTAATTAAAAATCAATTTTTTATTGAAGTAGAACTATCACTAAACATAACCTTAAAATTTTTTGGAAGCTTAGGTACCTTTTCTCGCGGAGCATTACAAATCTTTAGAAATAAAGATTTAAAAAAAAATCCATAAACGTAAAAGGTTACTGAATTTTATTTCAAACGTGTTATAAATTATAATACAAATGCAATATTATGATCATAATATATTATAAACGTTAAACAATCCTGAGCAATTACTCTACATAATAAGTAATGATTCTTAAAGTCGCCACTGGGAACGAGTCGCAATAATATATATATAATGTAGAATACAATATATCAATAATATAATATATTTATTTACTTATTTATATATAAACAATTTATTCAATATAAGGGGGAAGGGGGTTAATTTGGGCTATTTATACTTAATCTAAATAAAATATAATAAACTATACATTATTAACATTCAAAATGGATTAAATACAAATCTTATAAAGAAAAAAAATATACATAATGAAAAATGGAAAAAAAATTATATAATAATACAAAAATTTCAAAAAATGATACACAGCAAATGTGCACAATCTATACACAACAATAGTGCCATTCAAAAACAAGAATATAATAGTATTTTTTTTTTTTAACAAAAGAAATGAGACTTAAAAATAAAATCTCATACTTTCTAAGAATATCCTTAAAAAAAAGAGCCCCCATTTAAAATTAAAAAAAATCATATTCCACATTTATATAAACAAGTTTTGTGGTACAAATATAATTAAATTATAATTAAAAATTATAATTTAATAAAATTATAATTAAAAAAAAAAATAATAAAACAGAAAAAAGAAGACTTTACAGACAGAAATAAACTTGTGTACATGACTCGTTTCCTGCCTCTTCTTTACTTGATGATTGTACATACAATTGACGGAATTAAAAAAAAAAAAAATTTACGAAAATTTCATCAGTGAAGAAGAGGCCAATAATATATTGTATATATATATATATATTTATATAATATAAATAATGCCCAAAAAAAAAAAAAAAAAAATTATACGTACCGAAAAAAATAAGTAAAGATTGCACACTGTTTGGTATTTTGCTTGGGTTTTGTGTGATAATTTCCATTTTTTTTTTGCCCAAAATTCTAACGAAGTTTTATTAAAACTTCTATCGTGACAATCGTTTCTCTCTCTCTCTCTCTGTATATATTATATATTACAAAATAAGCCGCTAGTTTCCATTAGATTATGTTTACAATATATAAACATATCCAATAAGAGAAGACTTTGTAAAAAACAATACAAATATATATAAGATTCTGACAAAAATGGCTGCGATAAATAATATTGATTTTCAATATTCTTCGAATATGAATATTCAAACTTAACAATATAACAAATTTATCTTGAATTCCATTGATTTATTATTTCTTTTATTTCCATTTTGTTCTCTAAATCCAAAATCAGTGAAATTTTTTATCGGCAAAATATAATTGAAAAAATTATAATAAGTGAAATCGGCTAAAATGTAATTTAAAAAATAACTGGAAGTAAATTTTTTTTTTTTTTAATAATTCAATTGCCGCATTATTTTGACAATAAAATTTCTAGATTTAGAGAAAAAAACAATGGTAAATAAATTCATATTTATTGACACTTTTTTTTTAATTAAGTCAATAATTAACTTGAAATATATATGTATAGGAAAAAATTCAATAATATTAAAATTTTAACAACCTGATCAGCACCAATTTAGGTTTCTTTGCTTCTTCTTCTTCTTTTTCTTGGAAAATTTTTGTTTTTTTTTCAACAAAAAAGAAAAAAAATAATAGCGATAACAATTATTCAAAATTTATAATTCTGAAATAATTCGGAAAAAAATTTGAAAAATGCAAAATTTCTTGAAATTTCTTTGCTCCCTTTTTTTCAAAAACAAAAAAAAAAAAAAAAGGTTCTTTATCGATCTTAGCAAATTTGTTTAGAGCTCAAAACGTTTTTTCCTCTCAGCAACCATACCCACTGCAGGGAGTGGAGGGTAGAGGGAATGATGATGGTGATGATGGTGATGATGATAGCTCGGTGTTGGTGTTGTTGGCAGACTACGACAACTTCTGCCGGTCCATCTCAGCGAAGGAGACCTCATCAACTCTGTGAAATAAAATTTATAATTACTAATATGTCGAAAAATTAATTTTTTTTTATAAATAATTTTTCTTCTTATTCAAAGATCTTTAATTGTTTTTTTTTGTGTAAAAATCAATGTGAAAAATGTTAAATGTTTTTTTTTATATCAATATATACAGATCGTTCGATACAAAAAAAAAAAAAAAAAACCTTTAACAATTTTCACAATTTGTTTTCTTGTTTAAAAAAACTTTCAATTATCATTTAGAATATATTAAAAAAAAACACACCGATTAATTTATTTTCGAATCTTTTGCAATTAAATATTACGGAGTTAATGACTCTTCAAAAATCATATTTTTTTTTAAAGGCAATAGCATTTTTTTTTAAAGAAATATTAAAAATCATCGAATTATGAAAGAGTTACAGTAGAAATTTATAAAAATAATTGAATTTCAAAAGATTTTGTTAAATTTCAGATAATAATTAAATTTTACAGAATTGAAAATATTTAACAAATAATATTAAATAACCATTTTAAAAAATAATTGGGCAATTAATTAAATTTTCAAAGATTTAAAATTCAAATTTTTGAAAATAATTAAACTTCAAGGGATTTTTAATTGAAATTTTTGATGATTTCTGTTAATGAACAATTTATTAGAAATATTAAAAACAAAAATTGATCATTAAAAATTTTGAATAGAAAAATGCTTTCAAATAATTGAATTTTCGAAGATAAAAATTAAAAAATTATAAATAATAATAATATAAAAATAATAAAAAAAAAATAATAATAGAAAAATATAAGAATAATATAAAAATATAAAAAATATAAAAATAAAGAAAAATAATTAAATATTGGAAGAGTTACCAAAAAGTGAGATAAAGTCGGCGATTTTTTAAAAGTTTTTCTTAAATAACTATGAGAAAAACATAAAAAACAACTTTAATACTTTTTTTTCTTAGAAATGATAAAAAGAAATTTTTTAAATTAATTTGTAATAATCGCCGACTATACCCCATTTTACGGGTAAATGAGCATTTAAATAAAAAAAAAGTAAGAAACAAATAAAGAAAAGAACAAAAAAAATGAAAAATTCTAAAATTGATGACACAAACCTGCAATGGCGAGAGCTGGGGGTTCCGTGTTGAGGCGGGATGTGTTACCAATGTTGGAATGGAGGGTGTATGTCTCCGATTGTTGTTGTTGTTGTTGTTGCTGCTTTTCATTTTGCTTGTTCTCCTGCCACTCGATGCTAGTGTTGTTGACTCGCATCGTTGTTGTGCCACCTTTTTATTTTTGAAATACATCATTTTATAATATAGTATATATAATTTTATAATTTTTAATTGCGTTTTATAATATATAACGTTTACAAAATTCAATCTACTTGTAAATATATATATATATATGTAGTTACATACATTAAAAATTCCTTATTATATATCATATATAATAATAATCTACTGTCACTTACTTATCAATTATTATTTTCCACCCGAGAAAGTAAGCTAGAAACTTACATTTTTGTTTTAAAATAGTAGCGTTATAATTAAATAAAGGCAGTTTTAAAATATTGGTCTCAATACCTACTTTTTTTCATTTAAGATTAGTCAAATCGGTAATATATAAAGTTTCAAAAAATTTATCAGTACTTTTAGCGTTCGATATTAGAAAATTTTTTTTTTATCAAAGTTAGTATCAAAAAAAAGTAAGTTTTCAAATTTATTTAGATTTTTATATAGATTTCTCTAATAAAAAATTTCCTATTATATTTCAAGGCAAAATACAAACTGTGATTATTGTAGACAATTGATTTTTATCCAAAATGTTTGTTTAACTTTTTTAATTTATCAATTGAAATTTTTATTATCCAAGAGAATTTGTCATAAAGTTTATAAAAAATTTTATAATCATTTTTTGTAAATAATTTCTACTTTTTATTTTCGCGTAAAATCATAAATTACTTTTTTTCAAAGAAATCTTTCTTTTACGAAAGTTTCGTGTATTTTCAAATTATTAGATTTTTCAATTATATTAATTAAAAAATTATATATTTTTTAAATTTTAACAATTTTTTTTAGAAATTATTTATTGCAAATTTTTTAAAAATTCATTTCATTTTTAATTTGATAAAATAAAAATTGAGTTAAACAAAAATTTGTAAAACTTCCAATTGTCCAACAATATAAATAAATATGAAAACTACGATTAGTTTGTTTTAAAATATTCTATAAAATTTCTAATTGTAAGTTTAAAAATATTCGTATAGTTTAGTACAAAAAGCGCAGTTGCTTATGTTAATTAGTAAAAAAAAGCGCAATTGGCAAAAAATTACATTATCAAAATTATTTCCCAGGCATAGTGTCTTTCAAAAAACAAATTTGTTAGTCACCTTCTTTGCAAAGAAAAAAAAAAATTATTCACAATACCACCGATTAAGAGCTGTACTAATTGCACACAATTTTTAAATTGAATCGAAATCGTTTACTTTTTTTAATATTAAAAATATTGTCAAAAATAAAAATAATGTTACAATAAAAAACAAAATAAATTTGTAATTTTAAGAAATATAAATTTTAAAAGAAAATGAATTATTTTTGTAAACGATTTCAGTTTTGTGTTCGCAGATGAAAAAAATTAGAATGTCAAAAGATTTTTGGAAATAATTGAAATATCATCATCATCATCGTCACCACCACCACAAGAATTTGTCGTAAACGAAAATGTTCTTCATCTCTCTTCTGTACCTTGATACTGATGAGGAAGTCCACTTCTCGTTCTTAAACTGTCCCAGAGCGGTGTAGCGAGACCATTTCTTTCTTGATTTTTTTGTGTCACCCTCTCATTTATATCTTGTGACAAAACGACGCCAGAGCTACTACCATCACCATTACCGCCACCACTTGCCCTCACAAGATTACAATTTTTATATGGCAATGAAATGGATTTTATTCTCTCAACTTTATAAGAAAATGATTTATCAGGCGATAATGATTTTCTTGTAATTGATAATAGAGAATTACTCTGACGTTCGTTGTTTAATTTTTTTTGTTCTTCATTATTTGCACGAACTATCTCTTGACTAGATTTCATTTTCTGTGGTGAATATACTGATGGCAAGTAGCTTAATGGCGATGATTTCGATGTTGATTCATGAGAGCCGTTCCCATGCTGTTAGTGAAATATATCGAGAAAAATATTAGAGTGCGACTATACTATGGGAAATTATTTAATTATAAAAGTTGCAGTTGAAAAAAAAAAAAAATTGATATTTACAGTCGCATTTTATGGCATTTCAAAAGTCCACGATTAAAATTTGTTGGAAAAAATTGAAAACAAGTGCAAATAAAAGCAAGGTATACAGACACTGAAAATTGCTGTGTATAAAAAAATTACAATGTGCAAACTACAATTATTTCTAATTTTTTATAAATTCTGATAAACATTTTCGGTTTTTTTTTACAGCTAAAAAAAAATTATTTAATTATTATTTGACATTATCTACATTGAAAAAATTATTTTGATTCGAATAATCAATTACATGAGTGTTATCAAATAAATATTTATCTAAATCAAATAATTATTTGAATTTAATAAATTCTATTTGAATCAATAATAATTTCTGTATTTGATACAATTGACTCAAATAGTAATTTATTTGATAAAAAAAATTATTTATTTGTTAATAGTCAATTATTTGAATCAAATAAATTTTTTTTTGTATTAAATATTTTATGTTTATCAGAGTGCAATTCTATGAAAACTCAGTGGAAGCCCAAAAAAAAAACACCATAATATGCAATTGCAGCAGAGTTAAGAATTAATATGCATTTTGTTAACCACATCTACGGTGTAAAAATAATAAACTTAAAAAATAATAATAAATGCTTTTATTTACCTTTAGCTGTTGCTGCAATCGATGAATTTCCTCTCTTTGTTCAGTTATTTCCTTTTCTCTACCTCTCAATAGTTGTAATGTTTCATTGAAACTCGTGTCATTTGTTTCAAGTACCAAATGTGCTCGAAGTTGTTTATTCCGCGCGTCCAATTGTTTAATGTGTTGTTGCGCCTGATTCAATTGTTTCGTTAGTGTACCAACTTTTTCCTCAAGCGCTGCCGATTCGACACATTTTGACGAATATTTCGATGAGAGGGACAAAATTTCTTGTTTTATTTCTTCCATTTCAACCCTAAGAATTAAAAGTTAAATTTTATTTTATGCAAATTTCCATATTGAAATAAAATATATTTTATTATTTATTTAATTTTAATTTTTTAATTTTGAAAAAAAAGAAAAACTCACTCATGTTCCTTGTGAAGGATTCCAATATCTTCCCTTGCTTGCACCTGTTTTATAAATTCCTGTTTAAATTTGGCAATTTCTTTTTGCACCTCGTGTTCATGTGCTTTTCTCATAGCATCAAGAGCAGCCAAAGTCGCTTGCGTCTCTTCCGATAGAGCCTGTTCCTTTTCAATTCTTAAACTCTCCAATTCCTGTTTATGTTTCTCCTCCATTTCAGCCAATGTACGTCGATGTGAATTTTCCATAGCCAACAATCCCTTTTCACAAAGTGCTCTCAATTGTTTAATCTCCTCCTTATATCTCTTTCTTGTTTCAGCGTCAGCATCCAAATCCGTTGTCATTGAACGTTGATAAGCCGATCTCAATTCATTAACATGTGCCGAATGTTCTGAATCCATTTCATTGAGACGATTTTCCAATAATCTCGCTCTCTCCCTAAGACTCGCCGCTTCTAATTCATATTGCGATGTCATTGAATGTCTCTGATTATCCCATTCACCTTTAATATCCATTAAATCACGTTCCTGATTTTTTTGCAATTCCTCCAATTCATGTGTATGATCAGCATTTATTATCTGTATTCGATTTTGCAATAATTCACATTGTTTACATGTGACACTTTTAATATAATCACTTATACATTTTATTTGTTCTTTTAATTCTGTACATTTATGACAAATACTATTCCAATCAGTAATTGTTAAATTTGATTTTGGCCATTCAATTTCACTTAAACACATTTTTAAACCCATAATATCCTCCTCCATACAAATCAATGAATGTGTTACATTTTTCAATTGCTCCTTACTACGATGATTATTATTATTATTCATAGAAATTTTCTCCTCACATTCTTTTGTAAATTGTTGATATAAATAAATATATTCAGCATCGTGTAATGGATTATTTTCCATTTTATCAACATCAAAAATATTCATTAAAATATCCTCCTGTTGAATAAGACTAGAAACAAATGTTTTTCCTGTGAATGTAATTTTTTGTCGTTTATTTTCCTGTTGTAAAAATATTCTTGCATCAATTAACGCTTTTTGTGCCACAACATCAGCATAGTCTGTTAATAATTCTTTTGATTCATTTTTCATATTATATTTTGTTTTATTCATTTTCATTCGTCTCAAACAATCCTCATAAATTGCTGTTAATTCTTCAATTGAATATTCCATTTCTTCGCGTAATTTTGCTTGTGCTTTATCAGCCCACGTTTCAAGATTAATATTTGTATCGAAAATAAAACAAGTATCCGTGAAAGATGTTATATTTTGTTCATATAATTGTCCGCAACGCATTATAAAATGTGAAATTTCCGCTTGTACAAGTTCTTTACTCACTGTTTCCTGTGCCAATGCCCATGCCTCACGTATTCTTCGATCCTCAACTAATTTTTTCTCCCTTCTATCCTCTTGATTAATTTGACTATTATTCAATTCCTCCTGTTCCGATAAACTCAATGTCTCCGTTGCCAATGCCTCAGCAAGATTTTTTAATTTTGCATCCTTAAATCGTTGCATTATTTCATTAATTTCCTTTTGTTTTTGTAGTAAAAAATTTAAACTCTCAGCTTGTGCTGCCGTTACTTCATTACTAGTACAACTATCACTTTTTGTTCCATTAATTAGCAAAAATTTATTAGCTAATATTCTTGTGAGATAATCAATAAAACTTGTATTTTGGTAAGTTTTGGGCTTAGTTCCATAAATCTTTGATTTTAAATTTGAAATAAGCTGACTAGTTTCGACCAATTCACCTAAAACAATACTCTTATCGGTTGTTCGTGACATTGCACATTTTATTTGTCTCAATATTACACATTCAAATGCAATTCTCTCGGCAATTAATTTCATTTTCTCCTTATCGTTAAGCTGACCATTTTGTGCAAGTATTTGCCTTTTTTTCATTAATTCACACATTTTATCTCTAAGTATAATTTCTAATCTAGACACTATAACACCTACCGATTCAGTTATTTGTGAATTTACTTGATTTTTTTTACATTCAACGCATGAATCAAGAATATCATTAACAGCTCTTAAACATTTTTCTGCCTTCTCTTCGGCTTGCGTTGAACCAAGACATTTTTCAAGACGTCGTTTTGATTTTGCCACGGCACGTTCCAATTTTTTTAATCTCGATAACACCTCTAATGATACTTCACTTGTCGATGAGGCAACACTTATTTCACTGCATTCACTTGAATCTTTTTCAGCGTCACTTGCTAAATTTTCCGCAACTTTTGTCTCCAATGTACTTAGACGTATTAAAACTTTCATTGGTTCAGAATTTGTTGCACTATCCAATGATTTTCTACGTAATCTCGCACGATCTAAACTACGATGCTCGCGTCTTTTTTCTTTTTTTAAATTAATATTAGAATTTGTTTCCTTTTTACCACGTTCAATAGCATGAATTTTATTCTCCAAATCAACAAGTTTATCCTCAACTTCTTGTGATATTTGAAATGATTCACGTCCCTTTAATGAAAGTGATCGTCTCTTATCCCTTGTTTCAGCTTTGGTCATTTTTTGTTTTAATGTTCTTACTTGTTTATCACTGCCTGCGAGTTTATTTGTTAAATCTTGTATTCTTGCTGCCATTAATTGCATTTGAGCTTGATTTGTATCGTTGGCACGTCCTGATTCTTGTTTATAAGCGAAAACTTCAAGTTCAAGGGCATCTTGTGCGGCGTGAGCCTCACGTAATTCTTTACGCATTGCACGAATTTCTAATATTGCCTTTTCAAAACGTCCACGCAATTCATCGTATTCCTCCATTACACGTTCTTTGTCAAATGAATTTAAATCCAAATCAAGATCAATATTTGTTAAATCACTCAATGAATCGAAACTTTTACCACGTTCTCTTGTCACTGATGAGAGACTATTTTTTCCTTCTAGTTCACGTACTCTTGTGTATAGTCTTTCGTTTTCTTCAATTCCTGAAAATTACAATTCATATATTAATTAGGTAATAATTGAGGTTTGAAATAATTTAGAAAATAAATTAAATTTTTTTTTTCTATATTCATTCAATTTTATTTTTGAAAAAATCAATTTTACAATTGCTACTCTACCCCAAAAAAGGGTTCCATAATTTTTTCCAAAATTTTTTTATCCAACTGTTTAAAAAGATAGGAATTTTTTAAAATTTCAGAATTTTTTATTTTTGAATGTCATATTTTCCTAAAAAATTCATCAATTTTAAAATCACTACTTATTTTTGCAATTTAAACATTAAGATTTTTATTTTTAAAACTGTTCGTATCCTTCGATTTTTTTCAAAAAAAAAACTACCTATTTCCTTTTACAAAAATTTTTTAGCTTAGTCCAGTCGTGGAAAATAATTATTTCAATATTTTCGAAACTATTTAAAAATTTTTTCTAAAAATTAATTTTTTGTGTTTTTCTGGATAAAAAATATGTTAAATTTTTCAAAAAGTAAAAAGTAAAAATAAAAGTAAAAAAATGTATTTAAGTATTATATACAATTTTCGTTTTTTATTTTTTTGTTGAAAATTTTGCAGTTTTAAGAATAAAATTTTAATCCTATTTAAATTGTAAAAAAAAGTAGTAAATTATTTTTCTTAAATTTTTGCATCGAATTGTAAAAATACACAATTTTGAAGAAAAAAAAAACTTTTAAAATTTTGTTTCTTTTTAAGGAAGTTATAATAATTCAAAAATAAGAAAACATTAAAATTCTAAATTTTTCAAAAATTTACATATCGTAAACAGCTTGTTAGAAAAAAATTTTAAAAAATTTTGTAACCCTTCTTCGGGTTATTAATCAATAATTAATTTCTAATTAAAATTTAATTTAAAATATTTAATAAAAACTATTATTTACTATATTACTGTATAAACAAATAATACAAAATTTATTTTGAACATAAAATAAAGAATTTCATATTAAATATAATATAACCAAAAACAAAATAGGTTGAAATAAATTATAATTTTTTTCTAAATTCAGCAAATTTTTGAGACGTTTTAAAATTTAATTCACTTTATATTTACAATTCATTAACAATAAAATTCAATTATTTGACAATTTAATGTTTTTTTCAATTCAATTATTATTAAAATACAAAGTTTATATAAAATTATTTTATAAATTTAGTTATTTTCATTTATATTTATTTTGGAAATAATTATAATGTTAAAATAATAATTAAATTACCAAAGAATTGAACTTTTTACTCTATCGAATAGATAAAAAAAAACTCAATTTTTCAAACAATTAAAATTCTTGATACAAATAACATTTTTTTAATAATCATCGATTTTTATCGTTAATGAATTAATAGTGACGGTAAAATCGATTTCAATTTGATTTTTAATCGAGAAAGAATTCAAAAATTATTTTTCTTACAAAATTATTTACTTTTCTAAAGACAAAAATCTCAAGAATGTAAAGATTTATTTTATAAATTGAAAAAATAATTTAAATAAAAAATAGATAAACTAGAAAATAATCGAATTTTACGACTGAATTTTATTTTTAATGAATTAATAATGTAAAGTGTGTGAAAAAGGCCTTTTTTTTAATAAAATAATAAACATTAAACAATATTTAATGTGAATTATTAATATAAATCGTATTTTTTGTAATTCATTAATTTATGTTAAAAACCATTTTTTAAAAAATATTTGTTTAAAAAAAATTATATTGAATGCTCTATTTTTCTAAAAATTAATTTAAAAAAAAAAATAAATGAAAAAAGTAACAATTCTGAAATTTACAGCGTTTATGATTAACTATTAGAAAACAAATTAGTTTTTGAAACGGAAAATTATAAAAATTTGTATCTAAAAAAAGTGTTTCTTTAAAATAAAATTTTTGATTAATATAAACATTGGAAGAAATTTTGTTGAGATGAAAATTCATAGAATTTTTCATTCAAAAAAATATATATTTAAAAATTGTCGATTATAAACATTGTAAAGTTCATCATCGTAATTTTTTCTTTAAAAAAAAAAGTTAATAAAAAAAAAAATATTACCTTGCGATAATCTATCGCTTAAAGCCGTTATCTCCGTTTGTAGACGCTCAACAGTTCTATGACTCGATGAAAGTTCATTTGTAATCAATTCACATCTCTCTGTGGTTTCACGTAAAATAACTTCACTCTCCAATAATTTACATTCAAGCACCTCTTTATCGCGATTATATAATTTCTTCATTTTCTCCAAATCCTCCAAATCTTTATTTCTCATTTTTTCCATTCTTTGTATTTTATTTAATAATTCCTCAATTTCTTTCTCTCTAATATTAGCCTCAATTTTTTGCTGTCTCAATCTTGACAATTCCTTTTCAGTATTAACAATTTCCGTTCTTGCTTGATTTAATTGTGATTTTAAATCTTCAATTTCATTCTCCTGACGTTCAATAATGACTAGCAATGTATTTGGATGTGATTGATTTTTATCGAGCTGATCACGCAGCATTGTCACTTGATTCTCAAGAAGTTCAACAATCAATGGATTATTATCATTATTATTAGGTAGACAATTATTACTTTGAATTAAGCCATTTGTTTGTTCTTCATCTTCACCTAATTCACAGCAGGCCATCATTAAATCTTCCGAACGTACACTATCGAGTGTACTTCGTCGTGAACTTGGCGGTGAACTTCTACTTCGTTTATAGACTCTTGATCTTGAACTTGAACGTGATCTTGCTTTAACACGTGATAATGCAGTTCTCGTTAATGGTGGCGATGGTGGTAATTCAGACCATTCATGTTTCGTCGAATCAGACCAATTTGATCCTTTTAGTGCTAGTGACCATTCACCATTTCTCGTGAGTGGCGGTGACACTGGCATTTCTGACCAATCACCCGATTCTCGTCTTCCACCCTCGGATGCTGTTCGATATTCCTCGTCAGAGGAAAATAAAACAGAACGCGGTGTTAATGGTGTTGAGGGGACAATTGAATCTCTCTCTCGTTCAGTAATCGAGCTGCAAAAAGAAAAATAAAAATTAAAAAACATTGCCGAATTATTTTAAAAAAAAATTATAGGGTCAATCTATTATAATTCAACTAGTCTCTTTTTATAATAAACTACAATAAATTTAATTTTTGGCATTTTCAGACTTCGGATCAAATTTAGAGAAAGAAAAAAGTCGTTGTAGTTGATAAACATTACAAGAAAACTAAAAAAATTCCCTTCTTTTATTTTTAAACAAATACAATTAGTAAATATTTTATTATTATTATCAAACAATTGTTATTAGAAATTAATTAAGTTTCATTAATTCTTTAATAAAAATATTTCATACTGATATTTTTAAAAAATTGTATTTGTTAAATTTCAGAATTGAACTGAGACAAATTTTCAAGAATTCAATTCAGTATAGGACAAATTAAAAAAAAAATTTAATTACTTTTTTTAGAAAAAAAATGTTTAAATTATGATTTATGCAAATTATTCGCATTCAGAAGTTTAGAAAATGTAAATAAATAAATTTTCGAACTTCATTGAAATATTATTTTAAAAAAATGAATTTTAGTAAAAATTTTAAACATAATCAGGCCTTGGATCGAATTTAAGGCACAAAAAAAGTCATTTTAGTCGATTTATATTCCAAAAAAAAGTCGAAAAATTCGATTTTTTTTTTATTTTAGCAAAATTTAATTATGGTTAATAAATATTTTACTTTAAATAACTAATGTTATGAAATATTAAATTCATTTTATTAATTCTGTAATGAGAATAATTCTATGAAAATATTATCAAAAAAATTTATTTCGAATAATTCAGAATCGAACTAATTGTAAGACAAATTTTCAAAATTTTATTTAAGAAGGATAACTTTAAAAAAAAAATCTTGAAATTCCATTTTTATAATTTTTTCAAGTCTGATTTTACGCAAATTTATTCGAATTAAAAATTTTGTCATTGTTAGTTTTTGATGGTAAAAAAAATTTCAGGCAATACTTAATCAAGTTTTACTGACTTTTAAACAAACAATTTTTTAAATAATAATAATTTTGGAAGAGTTAAAGTTGAAATTTTTAGAAATAATTGAATTTCAAAAGATATTGTTAATTTTCAGACAATAATTAAATTTTAAAGAAATAAAAATAATATATCAAATAATTGTAGATAACATTTTTTAAAAATAATTGAATTTTCAAAGATTTACAATTTTGATTTTTGAAATTAATTGAACATCAAGTGATTTTTAATGTAAAATTTTTGATTTCACTAAAAAAATTATTAGAAATTGCAGACAAAAATAGAATTTTCAAATTTTTAATTGAAAAATGTTTTTAGATAATTGAATTTTCGAAGAATATTATAAAAAATTATTAAATTTCAAAAAATCTGTAGATGAAAAATTTTAGAAATAATTAAATTTTAGAATCTTTTAAATTGAAATTTTTGAAAATAATTGAATTTCAAAAGATTGGGTGAAATTTCAGACAATAATTATAATAAGATAAATTTTTAGTGATTTCTGTTTGAATTCCAAAAGTTTTTAATTTGAAAAATGCTTTCAGATAATAATTGAAATTTCGAAGATTATTTTAAAAATCATTGAAATTAATTGAATTTCTGGAGAGTTATAATTGAAATTATCTAATTTCAAAAAATCTTAGATGGAAAATTTTAGAAATAATTAAATTAGAAGAGTATTTTAGAAGTATTTTAGAGTATTTTAGAAGCTTTTAAATTAAAAATTTTGAAAATAATTGAATTTTAAAAAATTGTGTTAAATTTCAAACAACAATTATAATAAGAGAAATTTTTAGTGATTTTTGTTGATGAAGAATTTATTAGAAATCACATACAAAAATTGAATTCCAAAAGTTTTTAATTTTAAAAATGCTTTCAGATAATTGAATTATCGAAGAATATTATAAAATTCATTAAAAATAATTGAAATTTTTGGCAAATAATTAAATTTCAAGTGACTTTGAATTAAAAACTTTTGGTAACTTTATTTGCTAATTTTTTTTTAAATTATAAACAATTATTAAATTTCATAAAAATTTTAATTGAAAAACAGTTTAAGATAATTGAATTTGTGAAGAATTTCATTAAAATTGTTGCAAATAATTAATTTTGTACAGAATTTTAGTTAAAAACTTGTTAAATAATTGAAATAAAGAAAATCTGAAGAAGATCTGAATTGTAGGTACTAAAAAACATATTTTGTTAAAAAATTTTTTTAAAAATGTAAAAAAAAGTCGAATTTTATTAAAATAAGTCGAAAAAAATCATATTTTTGAAAAAAAAGTCTGAAAAAGTTCAAAAAAGTCGTAGAATCCGAGGCCTGTTTTTATTTTTAAATAAATAAAATTAGTTAATAAATATTTTATTATTATTATCAAAAAATTGTTATTATAAAATTAAATAAGTTATATTAATTCCTTAATAAAAATGTTTCATACTGATATTTTCAAGAACTTTAGAAAATGTTTTAAATAATTAAATTTTTTAAGAACTTCATTAAAATATTATTGAAAAAAATGAACATAGTAAAAATTTTTGACACAATTGAAATTTGAAAAAGTCGCATTTTAATTTTTTAGAAGTAAATTAATTTTTGGAGAGTTCAAGTTAATTAATTAAACTTCTCCATCTTTTTGTAACTTTTAACAGTAAGTTACCAAATTTTTAGTTTTTGGGAATAATTTTAATTTGTTTTACGAGTAATATACAACCAAACAATTTCAGCAACGTCTTTAGTCAAGATCTAACAAATTGACCCATTAATTTTCACCAAAAAAGAAATTAGTTTAGAATAAAATAAAAAACAAAAAAAAATTTGTTTTATTATCGATAAAATTCAAGAGACTCACGTAGTTGGCGATTGAGGATTAATGTCTTGTTGGTTGTCTTGACAGACGTGTGACTCGACATTGGATTCAGGATCTGGTAGATTAGCTGCACGTCTAATGGCTGACATCCAACTTGATCGGATACCTCCGGTTATTGCCGATAAAATAGTAGTGCCACGATCGTCCCACGTCTTTGAAAACAAAAAAAAACGAACAATAATAATAAATAATTGAAATAAATTGATTCGAAAAAGTGAAACTAAAATTTATTTAAAATGATAATAATAATAATAATAATAATAATGATTGTGAATACAAATCACCAGCGCGTTTAAACGACAAAGAGCAATATGAAGCGCCTCTGTGTATATATATATAATATAACACGCGTTCGATTTACTCTAGCGTGAAATTGACTTAAATTTTTTCAAGCCACTCCTCCTTTTCCTGAGTTAATCCGGTAAATTCAATTGAAGTGCAAAGCCCTCTCTTGCAGTTCCACTTCCGACTTTTAAGACAATACATATATTACAAATTTTCCTCTCTAGAATATTCTTATCAATATTGCATGAATTTCGAAATATGATTTTTTTATTTTCACTATTATATATATATAGAGTAATAAATTATTATTTTATCGAGTTAACGTTTTTTTTATGATATAAAATGGAAGTGATTTATGTGAGTATATTATATTTTGAAAAAAAGGAATTTACCACTGTTTGAAAGCCATAATTTCGAACTCCTTGTACCGAAGTGACGGCTGTTACAGTATTGAGATCGATGACACCGTCCATAATTCCCTTATCTTCCGCACTAGGATCTCGATAATACATCAATCCACAGCCTCTTAGAACGAACCAATGTTTATTCCATTCCTGAAATAAATTTATTATTTATTTATTTATTTATTTATAGTCGAAACAACATTTTTATTTGAATTATTTCACATATTATTTGTGAATATAATTATTTTTAAATTATAAATTATTTATTTATTTATTTATTATTATTTTTGTATTTATTTTTTTCTAAAATTTTAAATTACGTATTCATTTTTCTAAATTCTGATTCAATTAACAATTTGGAATTAGCAATCCAATAATTTGATAATTGTCTGAAAATATTAATAACTAAAAATAAAGAAATCTACTTTTTTTTCTAAATAAATCAATAATTAATTAATTCTGTTGTTAATTTTAACTTTTTTGTTAACATATTTTTATATAATTTTTCTCTTTTTTAATAACTCTTCGTTCAATTACAAATATTTTTTTCTCGAAAAAAATTAATTAATTTCGTAAAAGAAATGCAAAAAAATTAAATTTAAATAATAAATTTACCTTATTGAGCCCTTGTTTTAACAACCAGCCTTTCTTTATATTTAACAAATCTTCAGCTGGAAGATCAACTCTCAATTCAGATGTAGGCGAATATCGCGTACCAGAAATATCGAGACCACAACCATCAGGATCACCTCGAATCTAAAAAAAATTAATTATTTATTTTCCGTTTAAAATACTAATTAAAATAATATAAGAAGAAAATAAAAATATGAAATAAACCTAAAGAGTAAATACTTCAATAAATTTTCTCCTACTTTTTTTTCTTTTTAAATATTTTAATAAATAATAATTTTTTTTTAATATTTCCAAAAAAAAAGTTTAACTAAACAATTAAAAATTCTCATTGTCCATTTTTTTTCTTTAATTTTTACATATTTTTTTAAAAAAAGTTCATATCAAAAATTTAAATTATTACAATATTTATACGAAGTTGAAGTACGCAACGTTTTTGATAAACGATTTTTAAAGAAATAATTTTTTTGAAATGAAAAATTCTATAATTTTTCGCTTAAAAAGTATTTCTTGTAGTTTTTAATTAATCAAGCAAAAAAAATTTATTTTTTGGGCAAAAAATTATACAATTTTTCATTTCAAAAAATTATTTCTTAAAAAATCATTTATCATAAACGTATAGCGTACTTCAGCTTCGTATATTTATTTTTATACCTATTTATTTATTTATTTTTTTTGTTATTAAATTTAAGTATTATTTCCGAATTATATTAAAAATCGAAAATAAAAATATTTAACGAAAAAAAAATTTTTTTACTAATTTGTCTTGATTATTAACTGCATCCACAACATCTCTGGTTGGTTCAGAAGTTCTCTGTTTACTCCTTCTGACTCTCGGCTGTGTCAACGATGCAGCAATATCCCTCAATTTTCCCTCTCGTTCTCTTTCCTGCTCCAAAAGAATCCTTCGACAAGCGTCATCATCTGTAAAATTAAAAACAAATTTTTATTTACCAATTTATTTTTTAAAATTATAATTCAAGTCCCACATTAGAAAACAATTCTTCATTACCGCAAAACTTATTTCGCAAATTTGTTATTAAATATTCGAAATAATAATAATAATAACAATAATTAACTGTACTTATAAAATATTTAACGGAATTTCTCTTTTACAGGGAAAACATGCAAAGCTTGATCTAAATTTCCAATTCCCATGGCAGCTGCAACGTTTACAGCGCGCATGATATAAAATGCATCGAGGTTTTTCTATTTTTTTTTTTTTTTTGTTTGAAGGTTGACAACGATACTTCTTCTAGTTTATAATCGTTGGAAAGTAATCAAGAAACTTATTGGATCGTAGAGAATAAGTCACGAGTATTTCTATGAACATTTAACTACTACTAGTGCTGCTGATGCTGCTGCTGTTGAGAGGAGAGCATGGTTGTGTGTCGTTATCAAACATTTGCCGTTTCACGGCATCAACGTAACCAATTAACTTCTTTTCTCCTCTTTTACTGTCCTTAAAGGCTTTCAATGTGTGTAGGCATTTTACATGCCCACGCGTATATACATCAGACTTACAATCATTCAACGATTAAATAGAATTCGATTTATAAATATAAAACGACGTACCTGCATCTAACTTTCAAAAATTTAATTGTACGCGACAAGTGATTTTTCCTTTTTTTAATTGAAACTTTTTTTCAAATTCAAATGTGAAAAAAAATATATATATTTTAACCAAACTTTATTTTACTGAATATATCAATAGAATAAAATTTTTATTTAATATAATTATCATTTAATGAAATTTTATTTTATTTTACTTAATTTAATTTAATTTAATTTAATTTAATTTTAGTAACATTTTTTTCAATTAGCAAAATATTTGTTATACAGTGAAAAAAATTGACATTGATTCAAGAAAACCATTTAATCAACTAATTTTTTTAATTCAAGATTTATTTCAAACTAGTAAAATTTTCTGGGATCAAAAAAATGTTGAATTAAATACGGACTAGTATATAAATGGCTTTACTTGAATAAATAATATTTTTTTCCAGTATATGAATATTTTTTTGTTTATTGTTCTCCAATGTCTAATTGTCTACCTATATTCTTAATAAACATTTTTCCTACGATTTACTTTTTTCTCAAAATATTTTCCTAATTAATTTTTCCTAATTATTTTTGCCAAAAGTAAATTTTTCCCAATGCCGTGAATTTTTTTTTCTAAATTTAATTTGCAATTATTTGAAAATTAGAAAAAATTACCAATAGATTTAGAAACTTATTTTAAGGAAAATTGTATTGGAAATTTATATTTTTAAAAATATTTGTTTAGAAAATTCCAGGCTTCAAATTATACGACTTTTTCCAATTTTTTCTTAAAAATACGACATTTTTCGACTTAGGTATTTTCATAAAATTCGACTTTTTCGATTTAAAAAATTTTTTTTTTTTTGGAAACAAAATACGTCTTTTTTAGTAAATAATGCAGATCTCCTTTAGATCTTCTTTATTTCAATTATTCAACAAATTTTTAACTAAAATTCTTCACTAAATTAATCTTTTTTAATAATTTTAATGAAATTCTTCACAAATTCAATTATCTTAAACTATTTTTCAATTGAAATTTTTATGAAATTTAATAATTGTTTATAATTTAAAAAAAAAAAAAATAGCAAATAAAGTTACCAAAAATTTTTAATTCAAAATCACTTGAAATTTAATTACTTGCCAAAAATTTCAATTATTTTTAATGATTTTTATAATATTCTTCGATAATTCAATTATCTGAAAGTATTTTTCAATTAAAAACTTTTGGAATTCAATTTTTGTATGTGATTTCTAATAAATTCTTCATCAACAAAAATCACTAAAAATTTCTCTTAGTATAATTATTGTTTGAAATTTAACACAATTTTTTGAAATTCAATTATTTTCAAAATTTTCAATTTAAAAGCTTCTAAAATTTTCCATCTAAGATTTTTTGAAATTTGATAATTTCAATTATAACTCTCCTGAAATTCAATTATTTTCAATGATTTATATATATATATTTATATAATATTCAATTATCTAAAACCATTTTTTTCAATTAAAATTTTGAAAATTCTATTTTTGTCTGCAATTTCTCATAATTTTTGTAGTGAAATCAAAAATTTTAAATTAAAAATCACTTGATGTTCAATTAATTTCAAAAATCAAAATTGTAAATCTTTGAAAATTCAATTACTTTTAAAAAATATTATCTAAAATTATTTGATATATTATTTTTATTTCTTTAAAATTTAATTATTGTCTGAAAATTAACCAAATCTTTTGAAATTCAATTATTTCTAAAAATTTCAACTTTAACTCTTCCAAAATTATTATTATTTAAAAAAATTTTTGTTTAAAAATCAGTAAAACTTGATTAAGTATTGCAATTATTTTTTTTTTAAAAGTTGTCCTTCTTAAATAAAATTTTGAAAATTTGTCTTACAATTAGTTCGATTCTGAATTATTCGAAATAAATTTTTTTTATAATATTTTTATAGAATTATTCTCATTACAGAATTAATAAAATGAATTTAATATCTCATAACATTAGTTATTTAAAGTAAAATATTTATTAACCAATTAAATTTTGTTAAAAAAAATCGACTTTTTCGACTTCGAGGCCTGAAATTCTAAAATTAGGAAAATGAAATAGAAAATTACTGTTTATATATGAATTTAATTGTTAAAAAAAAAATTATGGAAAAAAATAATTCGATCACATAAATTCCATTTGATAGAATTGTCGAATAATTCTCAAATTTTTTTTTTTTTAAATCAAAAAAGTCATTTTGCCAAGTTTTTTTTTATTTTTAAATTATTGCATTTATAGAATAAAGAAGAAAATTATTTTTGAAAATTTACTTTTTAAAAAAATTTTATCTAAAATTATTTGATAAATTATTTATATTTATGTAAAATTATTTTATCTTCATTTAACAAATAAATATTTACTTGAACCAAATAATAATTATTTTATCCAGAAATTATTCTACACAAGTAAATATTTATTTGATAATTAATTAAACCGATTATTATTCGAATCAAATAATTTTTTTTTAGTTTAATAAATTTTTGATTAATAGAAAAATAATAATAAATAAATTCTAAAACAAAATTAAAGAATTTTCAAAATTACTGAATTGATAAAAGAATCTCTTTGTCTTTCTTTATGTACCGCTTTTGAAGTCGTTATTTATTTTTTTTATCTGAAATTTAATTAAATTCCATCATCATTTGCAGTGTTTATCGAAACAGGCAAAGCGTTTATTTTTGAAAAGAAATTAAAAGCCAAAGCACATATTTTCCTTTTGTCATTTAGACACAATAGCAAGAGAATCTTATCGGATTTTCTCATTAGATGTTCATTTTAAGTAGGATCGCAAGAAGCCAATCTAAATGAAATCTAAAGAACAGACAGAAAAGGGATTTCGTCGGTTTTCTTTTTTCTCTCATTTTTTTTTCTCTCTCTCTCTCTCTCTGTGACTTGACGTCGTCGTCGTCGCTATGTAAGTTTCGTAGATTTCCTCAGCGATTAGACGCACGCAATTACGCAACTTCACGTAGAAAGAAACACCCAAGAGAGAGAGAGAGAGAGAGAGAGAGAGAGAAAATGAGAGAAAGAGAGAGAATTGATACTACGAGTTCCCCAGAAAGTTCGTTCCTGTCTCTGTGGGAACGGAACTCCAGCGGATTCGTATTCGTGTAGCAAGCCTACGAAGGCATCATATCGCGATTAAGGAGTCATTTTTTTCAGCAAAAGCGACACGGTGACTTATCGGCAATTGGATATCCCACAACGTACATGCCAAAGCTTGGTGGGAGTCGAACCCTCAACGTTTAATTGGACTTCCCAACACGTTCCATACGAGCGGAACTTCGAATTAATCCTTATTCATTGAATGAAAGAACTTGGAAAACACCAAATGATAATACTACAACAACAAACGATTCTTTTCTTAGAATTCGTCGTCGTTGTTGTCGTCATTTAGTTTTCTTCCCTAAACTCTTTTTTTTATTATTTATTTATGAAGAAAAAATATAGAAAAAATTTTATTTTCTAATAATGTAATTTTTAATTTTAATAATTCTTTTTGAAAATTTCTTCTAAACAAAATTCTTTCTAATTCAAGAATTTGATCTAATTATACAAAAAAATTTTATTTAAACAAATTCATAACAGAATATTTTAATAACAAAAATTTTAATTCTCTCTCTTTCTCTCTTTTTTAAATGAAAATCCTTTTTCAATTTTTTTTACCAGTAAAACTCTAATTCAAATTTTATTTAACAAAATTTATATCTATGCACGATGCTAAAGTTCGCAACGTTTATTATAATAAAAAATTTTCAATGAAATAATTTTTTTGAATGAAAAATTCTATAATTTTTTACCTATAAATAGTTTTTATTAATCAATTAATAAGAAAAATATTTTTTTAGGTAAACAAGTTTTTAAATTTCCGTGTTAAATAAAAATTGATTTCTAATCGTTGTTCATAAACGTTGTGTACTATGCATTAAATGAAATTTTTATTTAATAGAATTTTTATACATTTATAAATAATCGAATTTTTATAAAACCAAAATTAAAACAGATAAAAAATTTCTTTAATACCTAATGTTATTAGATATATTAAATTTATTTTATTAATTTCATAATAAGAATAATTCTATACGAATATTATCAAGAAAATTTATTTTGAATATTTCAAAATCCAACTTACAATAAGGCAAATTTTCAAAATTTTTAATTAAGTAGGACAAATTTCTAAAAAAAATATTTTTAATGTTACATTTTTTAAAATTTTGAAGTTTGATTTTTAAAATTTTTTTGTTAAATTTCAGATAATAATATTAAATTTTATAAAATTAAAAATAATTCATTCAATAATTTTAGATAATATTTTTTGAAAATAATTGAATTTTCAAAAATGTACAATTCAAATTTTTGAAAATAATTGAACTTCAAGTGATTTTTAATTGAAATTTTTGATGATTTTTGTTAATGAAGAATTTTTTATATATTATAGAGACAAAAAATGAAGTTTAAAAGTTTTTAAATGAAAAATTTATAATAAAAAAAAAATAAAGCAATTCGATTAAGTAGTTAAAATAAAAATTCTGTTAAATAAAAATGTCTCAACCTAAATTAACTTTTAATTTAAAAAAAAAAAATTAATTCTCCGAAAATTTAATAAAATAAAATAAAATAGAATGAAAATAAAATACGAACCTAATTTTTCATTAAAATTGATTGAAGTAGAGGAGCAACGTTCGTTCTGTTGATGCATTCTGCGTCTTGCTTTATCCTCAGCACGAAGTTTATCTCGCGTTGGCGGTGAAGCACTGCTCGCTGGCTGGTCCTTATAATTTCTGCTCTCCGATGGACCAATTGGTGGCTTTTCGGGTCCAGTTATCAAAGGAGAAACATTCGTTGAAGTCGTGGAAGCAATCGTCGTCAATGTGTTCACAGAAACCGTTGTGTTCGCTGTAACCATTATTTTATATTCATTTATCACATAAATATTTACCTAATTGAACCAAATAATAATTATTTTATTCAGGAATATTTTACACAAATATTTATTTGATAATTAAGTAAAACGATTATTATTCGAATCAAATAATTTTTTTTTAGTTTAATAAATTTTTGATTAATAGAAAAATAATATAAATGTCTTAATTCATTAATTGCATACTGACCCATTACAGGAGAATTTCCATTTATTGAATTTGTTGATGATGATACGTAAGAATGAATATTGCCATTTTCCAAAGTTGAATTCCTCAATGGTGAGACGTTTGTTCTCAGAGAAGAACCATCACATGAAGAATCAGCACCACCATTTAGAGTATTTGATAGTAAAGAATTCGTGGAATTTTTAACCAAAGCCTGAGTGCTGTTAACTGAAATTGATCCAGGAATTGAAGAAAAACTGGAAGTAATCAAATCAGCGCCACTCGATTCCTGAATCCAAGAGGTGCTATTGAACCTCGGACGAGGTGGATTTGGTGTATTACCTGTTTGTTTAGAAGCAAAAAATAAAGAAACAGATTAATTTTCCAGCAATTGTAATTAAAAGAAGAATACAGTTAAACTTGGTTAAGTGAAAAAAAATTCGATATTAAAAAGGATAAAAAATATTTTAAAAAATAATAATAATAATAATTCAAAATTCTCGAAAGTTATAAAATAAACCGATTTAATGAAAAAAAAACTTTCTCCTATAAATTGAAAAAAAAATTAAATAATTTGTGAAAAAATGATAAAATTAAAAAAACTATACAATATTAAAACACATAAATTTAAAAATTTATAATATATAGTTATTTTCTCATTAAAATAATGTAATATTATATCTGAATGAAAATGAAAGTCTCCAGGTATTTGAGCATTCTAATTAATTTTCTAAAAGTCTAAAATATAATCAAATATGACATTAAGAAAAATTTACATTTTTTACAAATTAATAATTATTAAGGAATATTTAGTCTTTTTGAATGTAATGTAATTTAAAAAAAATTAACAAGTATGAAATGCCAAACATTTTTTTTTGTTTGAAAACCAATTTAATTATCCGTTTTTGGTTCAAGAAAATTTTACTTCTTTTTAAATAAATTTTTTTGAATTAAGAAAATTAGTGGATTAAATACGGACAAGTAAATAGTTTTCTTGAATCAATGCTACTTTTTCAGTGTATGAAATAATCCATTAATTTAAAAAATTAATAACAAGTATGAAATGCCAAGCAATTTTTTTTTTTTGTTTGGAAACCTATTTAATTATTGGTATTTGATTCTACTTCATTTAAAAAATTTGTGCTTGCAAACTAAAAGAAGAATCCAGTTAAACTTGGCTAAGTGAAAAAAATTTCGATATTAAAAAGGATAAAAAATATTTAAAAAAAAATAATAATAAATATTTATATAAACTTCTCCCAAAAAAAATAAGTTACAATTTATTTAAAAAATTATTTTAAAAAAGTATAATTAAAAATAATTTTAATAACTTTTGAAACACTTCGCTTGGGAAATATTCTTTTAATATCGAAACGCGTTTTTATATCAGTCACAACCAGTTTCAACTATATGTGTACTTTATTTCTTTTGTAATTTTCAATCACGTTTCATAAAAGGAGAGAAAAAAAGGGTCGGTATTAATTTTCTTGTTATAATTATTGGGAATTTTATATATATAGCTGATACTATCTGGAGTTTTGAAGAATCAAGATTAAGAAACAAAAAAAAAAAAAGAAAAAAACGAAAGGAATAAAAGAATACCTATATAGTATATATAATGAAAAAAAGGAACAGATGACAAGGTCTATGTAAGCAATATTCATTGCAGGTTTAGTAAAAAGAAAGCAGCTCAACGTAAGATCGCGTATATGCACTCTTGTAGTCATTTACATCGCAATTATAGGAAGAACGTAACTAACTGGTCCAGGTCGAGAGAGATAGAGGGAGAAGGCAAGAGTCTGGACCTTTGCAATTTAAAACCAATTATATTATATTAATATGGGCGCAACATCCTATTCGTGATCTTGTATTAATGACTCTTATTTAATAGTCCATGAGAGAAAAGATTAGATGATTGTAGGGTCCACTTCCCCTTGAGTATTAATCCTCATCGTTGATATTAAAAAAAAAAAATACTTCTGTGATTAGGAGTTGATTAAGTTGAACATTCCTGATCACTAAATATATATATATAAATGCTCTCTAGATATTTAATATATTATTTTTCAAATATTTCTTTCATAACCTTTTTCTTAATATTCTTCATCGATATAAATATCAGAATTGTTGTCGGATATAAAAAATATTCCAATATAAATAGCTTAAAATATATAAGTAATCAACTATTAACTGAGCTTTCATTTCATAGTTTGTAACGAAAATAATTTAAAATGTCATAAATAGGTTATGTTCGTAATGTACATATAACGAAAACTTATCGCATTTAAGAACTTAAAAATTTTATTACATTTGTTTTTTTGAGACTTTAAATTTATATAACCAGATAAATCCTTATTTTCTTATTTCAAGAAATTGAAACAAATGACTTTTCTCACATAACCACTTCAGTTACTTTTAAAGTAAAAAATTTATAATAGTCTATTTCTATATAAAAATGTTTTTATATTCAAGACGTTTTGTTTTTAATTAAACTTTATCATAATTTAGTGATTTACAGATTTTGGTAATTTTTTCTAATAAAAAACATAAAAATTATAAGGTTATGTCAAAAAGTTTTTAAATTGTAATTATTCGTTGTTAATAAATTTTTTTTTCTTAAATTTAACAGTGACAGGACAATTTGTGAGGTCATTGAAATATTAAATTTATTTCAATTTTTTTGAAAAATGGATTTATCAGCTTTTGAAAATTTGCTTCTCAATTATAAATAACAAATATAAAAAATCACGACATTGTGGACGACGGTAGGATTGACAAGGAGGAAGTATCGATTGACAAGAATCGATTCAAAACGTATCGATTTCTTTTATAGAATTGAATATTGTGGCGGGTAGAAACAACTTTTTAAAAATTTTATCAACTATAGAGAGAGATTAAAATTGTTAACTTGTAAAATAAATAAATATTATTTACAAAAAATTTCAAAAATGTAAAATTTTCAATAATGATTAACGATTGAGTCTAAAATCGATTCTAAAGTTATAAGTTTACCGCAACTGCAGAAATAAATGGAAATTATTTAAAAGGGGTTTTAACTTTTATTTATATCTGTTAATGGAAATTAAAACTAAAAGTACTACAAGCAAAAAGAGAGAAATTTACTCACATTGAAATGAAAATAAATCCAAATAATCAGATAAAATATTCTCGCATAGTTTTATAGGTGCGCGCATTTTAAAGAAATCACTGCGTAGAAATAAGTTATCAGGGAAAATATTAAATAATCAAGAATTTATTCAACAAATTTGATGTACTTTGATAAAAGGCGAAAGTTTTCACGCGAACTTCTCATGAATCGAGAAAAAGAAAGAGAGGGAGAATAAATGTCCAATTACAGAAATTTAATGACATTAGAATAGATTAGGAATAAAGCGATGATTATCTCTTTCACAAAGAGCGAGAGAAGTATTAAAGATTTGCTTGAAATAAAAAAATAATGTAAATACACATTTGTGTTTTCTTCACGCTTCCGTGAAAACAACCCACAGTCTCTATCTCTCTCTTATACTCTCAGTATATTATATGCGTACTTTGTATTATACTTTTACTTTCGTGCCAATTTCCCAGAATAAGAAACTTACTTTTTATATTCAATTTTTTTTGTATTTCCTGTATTTTTTTTCTATTTTATTTTTTTCCTAAAAATAATTTTTTTTTCTCTCCGGTATTTAAAGATATATTACTTAATTTCCTGCGTGCGTACTCATTGTCCATCTTTCGATTTCATGAAGCCTTAACTAAGTGCGTTTTCCGTTTTTTTTACTGCAGTTTGAGTTTCACAAATTCTATGAAGTTGTTGTGAAAGATTATTTACTTACTTCGAATGGTCGGCGTAACTTGAAGAATGGTACTTTGCCCACCAGGAAAGGTTGCATTCCTTTTATGACGACCCTGTAACAAACATATTTTATTGAGTTAGTAAATTTTTTTTAAAAAAAGATACTATAAAAATTCCTGCGTAAAAAAGATATCTAAAAATAGTTCAAGTTTCACTTTTTATATATTTAAAGAGAAATGTTAAAAATTTAAAGATTCTTTTTTTCAAGACATTTTAAATGTTTCTATTTATGAAATAATCAAATTTTTAAAAAAAAGTAATAAATTTTTATTTCCTCCGTTGTATAAAAAATTAATTTGTTTTTGTTTTGAAAAAAACTTTTCCCCACAGATTATTTTGTGAAAAAAAATCATATTTTAAATTCCAAAAATTTGTCAATTATTAAAAGAATTAAAAATTCTCGAAAGTTATAAAAAAAAACCGATTTTATGAAAAAAAAACTTTCTCCTATAAATTGAAAAAATGGTAAAATTAAAAAAAAGTATACAATATTAAAACACATAAATTTAAAAATTCCTAATACCTATATAGTTATTTTCCATATTAAAATAATGTAATATTATATCTGAATGAAAATGAAAGTCTCCAGGTATTTGAGCATTCTATAATTAATTCTCTAAAAGTCTAAATTATAATCGATATTATAATCAAATATGACATTAAGAAAAATTTACATTTTTTACAAATTAATAATTGTTAAAGACTATTTAGTCTTTTTTAATCTAATGTAATTTAAAAAAAATTAACAAGTATGAAATGCCAAACATTTTTTTTTGTTTGAAAACCAATTTAATTATCCGTTTTTGATTCAAGAAAATTTTACTTCTTTTTAAATAAATTTTTTTGAATTAAGAAAATTAGTGGATTAAATACGGACAAGTAAATAGTTTTCTTGAATCAATGCTACTTTTTCAGTGTATGAAATAGTCCATTAATTTAAAAAATTAATAACAAGTATGAAATGCCAAACAATTTTTTTTTTTTGTTTGGAAACCTATTTAATTATTGGTATTTGATTCTACTTCATTTAAAAAATTTGTGCTCGCAAAAATAATAAATTTAATAATAATAATTTAATATTAATTAATTTAATAAATACAAATCACTTAAGTTAGATTAAAGTGATTTATTCTGCAATTTAACGCAACAGTTCAATAAAACAGAATTTAATAATTAAAATGTTTTATTTTTATCATTTGCATTAAAAAGTATTTTAAATAATTAATTATTCAAATAAATATTTACATTTTTATAATATTAAATGAATTTTTGAGAAGTTTTAAGATAATTTTTCCAGGGTGGTTTACTTATGACTATAAAAAAAATAGTCGCAAAAAACACTTTCTAAAAAAGGTCGAAAAAAATTTTTTTTTATGACATTTGAGTCGTTAATTTTTTTTTTCTTTAAATAAATAAGAAGTGATCATTGATGGGGAACAAAAATCACTATAAATATTAATAATATTCACACAGTAAAATTTCTCGCTTCTTGTGCATAATTCATGGAATCATATATATATATCGATATAATATAATTCAGAAATAACAATAGCTCAAGCGTAATAAGGGTAGCTGGGGATTTATTGCATCGATCATTTATGCATACATTCCCGTCAACTTTGTTATACTATTATATGCATATTATTGGCAACAAGTTGCGATATTATTTCTTATTATAAACCAAGGGAAAAAAATTTTCTCAGATATTTATTTCAAGGCAACACTGCTCCATTTACAGAATAGTCAAATAAAAAATTAATCTATTTTTTTATTTTTAAATGAAAAAATAAGTTATAAATAAGAATTATATAAGTGAAAGTGTAAATAATTAAATTTTTTGTCCTTTTGAACCAAAATTTTTCATTGAAAATTTCTGTGATTAATAAACGATACAATTTTTAGGTTATGTTACTGGAAACGATTCCTAATATCAGTTAATTTTTGTTTATCTTCTAATACTGTAAAAGGAAACTGTATAAAAATAAAAAAATGTCAATTCCGATATTATATGTATTCAATAGATAATAAAACGTTTTATTATTGTATAAAAAGCGTCCTCGAATAGTATAAAGAAAGGTCGTCTTTGTTATTATTAAGATACAGTCAGTCACTTGTAAATAGTTAAAAGAAGAAAAATCATAAATGTTTCCTGCATCTTTTGCCTTGGCCTCTTAAGTTAATCGCATTTTTTTAATAAATGTTACCAGTGACAATAAAAAATATTTTTGTTGATCAATCAATCAATGGATTACGTAATTTTATTCTTTCCTTACAGCACAAAATAGTTATTCTTTTCTTTTCCAAACCTTTCACTTTAAATCTCTTCAATATTTATATTTATACTACTAACTTATTATTTAGTTTATAAAAAATATTTTTAATAAAAATTTAATTCTATTATTTAAAATTATTTCAACTAACTCTTCGATTTATTTAAGTATACAGAAAAAGAAATTGTAAAAACGGAGCCAAAAAAAATGTGACATTTTGATGTTTGTATATATATATATATAGTGGATAGAAATTCTCACGATTTTGAAAGTTATTTTTGATCGATTATACCAGAGAAGGAACGATATAATTATTGTTACGATAATTACGATGAGGGTAATTAATGTAATTGTTGGCATGACCATAAAAGAATTAATGTCTTCCAAGGGCTCGAGAAAATACGCTCCATAATAAAATATATATAAAAATATTTCAGTCTTAAGGTAAATAGGTTAGTTGAACGTCAAGTCCAACTTTGAAGAAAATGAACATCAGAGAGATCGTTTATACAATATATATGTGTATTATGCAAACATCTCGTCGTTATTTCACAATGCCATTGGCGAGTAACGGAAGCAAAAAAAAAAATAAATAAATAAAAAATAACAGAAGAATCGCGAGACTTATGAATGCCCTTCCAATATAGAAAAATCGAGGACATCGATGGAAATTTATTGATTCTTGAATTTAAATGTAACTGTCAGATAAAGTCGAGCAAATGTTATATTATCTCTATTTTATCTCTTATTCTATATAAATTATATCACTTTTTTCCTTATATTATATTGCAAAATTATCACATTGAAAAGATACTTTTTTTCTAGTGACGTAATCTAAATTTCGAAAGATATTTAAATAGAAATTCTTCTCATTCAACGACAATTTACGAAATTAAATAACAGAATTTTTAGGTTAGGAATCGATTGACACGTACACTCTTGGCCGTATATGCCTATATACACTTTTTTGTCCTTTTCTAACTCACATGTTGTTATGGCAACACTTGCGTTAGAAAAAGACAAACATGTGTAGGTATATATCTCGCCACAAGTGTACCAACCATGTAAAACAAAACAAATTGATAATGGCGCTAAATTTAAAAATTGTTGAAATAAATTGATTTTATTGCAAAAAAAATTTTTAAACACTGATGACCTACTTATAAATATACGCGAATTGCATAAAACATAACTTAATCCGGAACATAAATATTGTTTAACTATAAAAAAAAAATTTACAAAATATCCAATATCCGTTTTAGGTCCTAATATATAGAGTAACGTAAATATAAATATGAGGTTAAGAGATTGAAAAACAATAATAAGCGAAAGGAATGAGGCAAATTAAAAATAAAATGTGTATATGAAATCATTTGAAACACGCAAACGTGAATTACAGGAAGAAGTCAATCAGTTGATGACTCCAATGCGAGTCAGGATTATTGTCAACATAACAAGTTTAAACCTATAGCAGGATTAGCTAATGATTCTGCGAGATACACTTTGAAATTTTTTTATTTGATTCAAATAATCGGTTACTTGACTATTATCAAATAAATATTTACTTGAACTAAATAATTTTTTTTTAGTTAAATAAATTTTATTTGAACCAATAAGTTCTGTATTTGAAACAAATACCATTTAATTAACTCAAATAATAATAATAATAAAAATAAAATAATAATTTATTTAATACAAATAAATATTTATTTGATAATAGTCAAGTAACCGATTATTTAAATGAAATAAATTTTTTTTTCAGTGTAACGTAGTTATTTTGTCATCACAAATAGAATGTATTATGAATCGTAATAGTTAAGAAGAAGTGTAACGTAGCCGCGTGGTAAGAGTACAAGGCTCGCGTCCCAAGGGTCCTGGGTTCGATTTCCCATGCTTGTGAGATTTTTCCAAAATTATTTTTCGTTGTTTTATATACTGTATACGTAATAATCTTAAATAGAAGCTAATTTAGTCTTTTGTATCGAATTAGTTGTATCGAAAAACATACAATAATTACTAAGATTATGTCAAACTAATATATTAAAATATAAAAAATATTCCAAATCTACACATTTAATTAATTTGAGCTCGAAAAAATGCTCGGGTCTATTGGACCCATGGTACCAGTTAAGGGTTAATGGAGGAAAATTAAAAAAAATTTAATTTAGTCCAATAAGTGACTTTCATATCTTTGTAAAAAAGAAAGAAAGAAAGAAAGAAAGAAAGAAAAACGAAAAAAGCAACGAACCTTGTTTCTTGAGTAAACTTGAAGAACGTCAGCCCACCAACGCGTTTCTTCGCGGCAGGTGCCCTTGACGAAGGTCACGCCTTCTGGAGAGGTCACCGCAAGGCTATAAGGATGTCCAGTGATATCCTCGGCTGCAGCAACTTCCAGGACACGTGTCATGTCGATTCTTGCCTGTGGCACAGTTTCCGGCTGTAAAAAAAAATTATATTCCCCATTAAAATTTTTTTTTTTAAGCAAAAAAATATAGGTTACATTTATGATAGTCTTTTCTTGATTAAAAGTTCCTTTTTAATTGTATGTAAAATCAAAATTAGTTTTTATTGAATTTTGGATCATTATGATTGTATTTTTTTAAAATTGAGTTATTTGAATTTTTAGATTAGATTGTTTTTTATCATTTTATTGGGTTTTTTGGATTTTAAAAATTAAAACAGCTATAAAATGTAAATGAGGATATACTAAACGATAATGAATAGAATGAGAGATGGATGAATGAACTGAAAAGAGAGAGAGATAGAGAAAAACAAGAATGAGGGAAATCGTAAAAAGTCGAACGACAGAGGGAAAAGTTTGATGAAGCCGCAATAAGGGCGAAATAGAACGGGAAACGGAAGCCCAGGCACTGGCGGATTTGTAGTTCGTATAATTAGATCTAAATTATTTATTATAGCGTTACTTTTCTTTATAATATTGTAACGGTAACAACTTTTATTTTTTAGTTTTATTTTGTTAAATTAATTTCAAATTAAGAATAAATACACTTTACACCTTATTAAGAATTAAAAAAAAATAACATTAAATTTATATAAAAGAATAAAACTTTTGTGTCTGGTTCGTTCAGACATATATCTTTAACATTTTCCCATTTTATGGACGAAAAACAATACAAATTTAAAAACATTTAAACAGCGTGTTAACTCCGTTGTTTATTTTAATTCGTAATTATACGTGAGAAGTATCTCAAAAGACGATTTAATCGTCAAACTGCAAAATCTTTGAGGACACTTATTAAGCTATGGGTGAAATCAAGGAAACAAGTACTGAAGCGAGAGCTGAAGTACAAGCTAAACCATCGGCGAAGCCAATCTTTAAAAAAACGCTTCAATTCCATCAGCCGAAGAAGTTTCCGGAAAAATTCCCTGGACCGAAGCATTTGGACATGAATGTCAATTTTGCTCCTCTCAGGAATGATTCGATACTTCACGAATCTGTGTTTGCAGCACGAATGTCTTGTGATTTAATGAGACCTGACTCGAAGGTAAAGCTAAATTATTCGAGTTTCGTTGCTCTTACAGATGATATTTATAATCGAGCCAAAATGACTGATATTAGTTTTACTAAACTGTTAACTCTTGAAATGTTTAGATATTACTCAGCAGGTCTTCTTTGGTTGCGATTAATATCGCTGAAAAGTAAGAACTCGGAAGAAAGAACTGGCATGGAAACAAAACTTCTTGCTATTAGCGAGAATGACCAGTTCTACGTGTCATCTCCGTTACAAGCGTACTTTCAAGCTGTTGATACTAGCTTTGAGATGGGATCCAAGGACTTCAAAGTTGATATTCCAACTCTGCCTACCGAAGTGATTGGTGTTCACGGAGGTTACCATGATATGCTGGGTGTGAATACACACAACTTTTATGAAGAAATCCCTTGCCTAGGTGTGATGGCCGAAGCTCTCAGTGAGACCTGTCGCGAGGAACAGGCAAATAACGACGGTTCTTACCGTCCATCAACCTTCCCGGATACTATTCCGGAAGCAGTATTTCCAAATTCAAATTACTTAGGTTATAGTAATAACTCTATTCCTAAGCGCGACTCAATAAATCAGTTGAGAAGCATCGGAATTACTGATAGTACATTCCCGGAGGACGTAGTTTCCACCGGATTTAACATTTTGTTAATGCGCACAGTCTCTCGCATCATTGCTACAAATAAAGTGTTTCCAAGTAATTTACTGTGCTCAGCGCCGAAAATTGTTTTTCGCAGAATCAAAAATTTCAAATGATTTTGTTTTTAATTTTTCAATTCAAATAATACCTTGAAAAATACTTCTCAAGGCATTGTGTGGACCAAAAATCTTTTTAAAAAATGTTTTGATAGTTTTGATTCTGCGAAAAACAATTTTTGGCACTTAGCGTCGAAGCCAACTTCAGGGAGATCCAAAATCTAATTTTTATTCTATATTCCTATTTAGTTAATAGGCAAAACACCGTACATTATAATGGTTTCTCTTCCCCTCCTTTCATACTATCCTCTGGCGTCCCTCAAGGATCAGTCTTAGGTTCACTCCTTTTTAATATTTTCATTAATGATATTGCTGGTCTTCTGCCTTCTAAAAAATTGTTATTTGTTGATGATTTAAAAATTTTCAATCGGATCAAATGTCTTGCCGATGCAGTCTGTTTACAATCTAGCTTGACCCTATTTGACGAGTGGTGTACCAAAAATTAACTTAAAGTTAATTCTAAGGAATGTTTTGTAGTTAGCTTTTCGAGAAAGGACTCTGTCATTAGTTATGATTATTCTTTGCAAAATGAGTCACTGTGTAGAAGGGACAAAATAATTGATTTAGGAGCTCATTTCGATTCAAAGTTAACTTTCAACCTGCACATTCAATCGGTCGAATCACAGGCTTCAAAAGCTTTGGGCAGCTTAATTAGAAATTTCAAGAATTTTGATAATTTAAATACTTTTACTCTACTATATAACTCATTTATTCTATCCAGATTTAATTATGCACAAGTAATTTGGAACCCGTTCTTTGACAAATACATAAACTCTCTGGAAAAAATTCAAAAAAGGTTTTTAAAGTACTTAATGTTTCGTAAGACTAATATATACCCTCATCCTGGTTCAGACTATATTGATTTGTGCAGGCAATTTAATTTTTTAACTTTAGCTGAAAGACGTCAAATGAACCAAGCTATTTTTATATTTAAAATTATTAATAGCACTGTTAATTGTGCGAACCTTTTAAATTATATTAACTTTAGAATACTGCGATTTCACTCGCGTTATTACCAACCATTTTTTATACTCATGCCTACATCTGCCATTGGCATGTCATTATAGACATTTTGTTTTCTTTGTTCTTCTTCAACTAAGAATTGGTTTAATTTAAATACACGATAACCAGATTCATCTATTTATGTTTCATTTTTAGTTTGATATTCTATCTAAATATACCTTTTTTCCACTTAATAGTTATTATAAATACATTTTTTAAGTTTTGTATTAGTTTTACAATTGTTATAATAGTTGTAAGTACAATTGTAGCGCCCTTTGATGGTCTTTGACTGTGGGCTATGTTTTTTTGCAAATAAAAAGAAAAAATATATATACTTTACAATGTGATCATGGCTTGCATAAACTATGTTTACGAGCCATGTTAACACTACAGAAATCTGCATAGCCAAGCATGCTCACACGTTAAATATATATATATATATATATACACATATATTCGGTATATATATGTAAGTATTTACAGGTATATATAAGACGATATGTGGAAAAAATCTCAAAGAATTATGCCTAATAAATAAAAGTGGCGCGTCCGCCACGGAACGTGAATCGTAAATCATTTAATTTTCGTTGCAAGTCGTGCAACAAAACATGACACAAATTTAAATGCAACCTTCCCTTCTGAATATATCGAAGGCCAAATATCAGATATTGTAACCAGAGACGAAACTAATAATTCTTATATAGATATATGATTATTTATTTAGAAGAATTTTTTTATAACAATTCAATTGTCTAAATCGAAAAATCCCACATATAATCCCAACGCTTTTCCGCTAGGGTTGTTAGTATCGGGGATATGTAAATGCTACTATTAAATCTGGAAAGGCTGGGGAAGAATTTTCAACAACGGCCGATAGAGTGAGTGCTCCTTATGGCGCACTCACACCTTTTTTGGCTGCCTGACTGCCTGCAGATTACCATGGCAACGCACGAGTGTGAGTGAGACAGAAAATTTGAATATTCAAATTTTTTAATTTTCTGTCGCACTCACTCTCATGCGTTGCCATGGTAACCTGCAGGCAGCCAAAAAGGTGTGAGAGCGCCTTTATACTACTTCATGATTTTTATGTATCTCTTTTCACCTAATCTAAAAACTGTTGACTACTATCATGGGGAGTAGTATAAGGTATAAGGAGACCGAATGACCATGTTAAATCTGCATTAAAAGTGGACCTAAATTTGGTAACCGCTTAGTGTCATGAAAATACGTAATGGAACACTTGATTGTGTTAAACTCAGCTGGACAGTCAGCCATTGTAAAAGTTTTAAAAATAAGGAGCAATGTATTTTTGGATTATGTTCAACGTACGACCACCGTTCTCAATAGACCCTTTCAAAGTAGGAAGTGATAAATGCGCATGCTTAATTACAATAATTATTTTAGCGCAACTTTTAAAAAGTCGATTAATCACAATTTTTTGTTTATTCTTTATTACGTTTGTTTGACTATTTTCGATCAAATTAAAATTCAATAATTTGATAAAAAATAAAATTCTATTAAATTTTCAAAATTTAGTTAAATAAAAATTCGACCGTATAAATTTTGAAAACACTTAAAATTCAAATTCTACTGAATTTATTACACAGGGAAATAGCTTCACATTGGGGGAGAAATTTATGGATGAAAAAATTAATTAGTTTGTGAATTTGTGTAATAACAATGTTGAGATTATATATGATGTGAGTTTTGAGATGAAAGTGTGAGCTTTCTGGCACAAGTCCAACAATTCATCTTGGTCTATGTCGGGGCGTAATGTGCAAGACCGCCCAGCATGGGTTTTTGTTTGCACAACGTGTTTATTAGTAAGGAGTTGCTCCCACGTCGTATATATATATATATATATATATATATATATATATATATATATATATATATATATATATATAAATGTGACGTCTCTTGCGACTGGTATAAGAGACCAATGACCTTATCTTATGCACTTAAAAGAGAAACACTAGTGTCTTCTTTACTCTCTTTCATTAAGCGAGTTTGAATTTACTGTTTGTCATTTACAGTTTATTTTATTCCACCTTCAGAAAATGCAAATTAGAGAATAGCCATTTTAGAAATTGCGCTCTCTTAACACTCTAAAACTTGACGATCAAGATCTTACCGTTAGAAGCTTGGTGACGCTTTATATATATATATATATAAACAC